TTTCCAGACTGGTCCTCGGCATTTTTGGCCAGCTGTGTCCAAATTGGCATTATTGATGTACAATTTTGAAAGGTAAGCATGTGACGGACACAGCTGCTGTCCTTTGACGGCCACCTCGGGCATCACATATAGACAGCAAACATACACTGATTTACATAGCTCAGAGAACAGCTTTTTTCTTCTTCTTCTAGGAGAATTACTCGAAGGACTTGTTTGCCCTTTTACTTCTGTCATGGTGACTGTTTATTGAGGGAAATGCAAAGTTCAATAACGACAATAAAAATAACAATATTAATAATAATATCAATTAACTATATTCCGAATGAACAAGAAGCAAGGTCCGGCAGATTCCCCAGTCGTCTAGCACCCTGTTTCGTTTNCACATGCAAAGGGTTTTGTTAGAATAACAAATATAAGATATATTCTGGTCTTAATGTGAGAAGTGTGGTTAACGCGCTTCAGATAAGTTGCGTGTTTCTAACCAGTTACACCCCTCACGCCAATCCCGTTCGGTGACATCAAAATCATAACGCCACATTTAATAAACATTAAGAGTGGAAATAATAACTCATAGTGCTACAACAAATGTAACCTAAACGAGGGTCCATTTAGCCAGATGATTTACAACCAGCGTGGATGTTCACAATATTTATTAGCATGGGAAAACTGAATGAAACGTCCGTCACTCGATCACAGGGAGGGGTGGGGCGCGCGGTGCTTTTATGTAACGTGTCCCGGGAAGCCATAAGTCCAGTCGGGCACAGCTCTCACTGGTACAAGTCTGGATGACAGTAAACGACTTTTAAGGAAAAATGGTCGCTGATTAACAAGAGTGAGTTCCTGCTAAAACACAATGAGCGCCTCTGTAGGCTCATTCATTACCATTAGCACCTGACCTTATTTGGGCGGCACAACTCGCGTGAGCGCATCACATTTTGCGGAATAAATCAAAGTGACCGTTGTTAACTGACCGCTGATGTTCAAGTATCAACAACAAGACATCCTACGAAAGTTTGCTTCTTTTGAAGATGAAAGGTCCCCCTCAGGAAAGCCTTGGGGACTAATTATCATTAAAGTGGTCGTATTTGCGCGACCGCTTGGCCATTTCCCTTGATTTGGTGTGTTTTGTTATGCCATTTCCTAACTGGAAGGTGGAAGTGACCAAGAATCACGAACTAATTTTGAAAGAGAAAAAAAAGCTAAATGAAAATCGAATCTATTGCCTTACACCTCTGCGTCGGCGGAGTTTGATATGTTTGATAAAGTTAATAAAACTTGGAAATGGCTCATAAACTACTCATAAATCTTGCATAAAGTTTCTCAACTAACATTTTATTTACCAACTCCCCCAATTCCTATACACCTTTTTAAACATTCTTCACCAATAGATAGGCAATATATATTTTGAGTCTATAATAGTGATCCAAAGGAATAAACCTCAAGTGCCTCAAAGAACGGTATTGTTTTGTAACTCAAAATAAATGAATTTTCTTGACAAATCTTTCTGGCTCTATTTTTTGAAGTAACAATTCATCGTCGGTGTTAGGGATGAGCATAAACAAGATGAGTCAAAACGATATGATCTGAAATGACCACGACTTCAGAAAATGAAAAATTAAGATACTATTTACTACATTAGATAACTTAAGTAACCCCCAAAAGAAAAAACACACAACAACATAAATAATTTTGAAAGTATTCATAAGTATCCATTCAGACTATTGATAGGACTAGCATATACTGATTTGACGGCTAATTAAAAAGACTACAGCTGAACAAGGCTTCAAACACTTATATTTCCTTCAGCCTTCACGAAAATATCTCTAATCTTCTTTATAGTTTTCCTGCCTAAACAGGACGCAATAATGAACTGGCCAGGGATGAAGCAATGATACGACGTATTAGACATCTTTTATGTGCGTATTGTTTTGTTTCAATACATATTGAATAATAACGATAGTGATAATAATAATGATGGTAACGTTTTCATCATACAAGCATGAATGGATAAATAGCTCATACTCGCATCTATTTTGAAAAGTTTTGTTCATTACTCAGAAAAAGATCGTGAAATAAAAGCTCAGAATATTGCAGTGCATAGATGGACATTATTCTGGACACGTGTATAGTGAACGGGAGAAAAAGGTCTCCAAGATCCCATATCCATAGACATATTTTTTCCAGACTGGTCCTCGGCATTTTTGGCCAGCTGTGTCCAAATTGGCATTATTGATGTACAATTTTGAAAGGTAAGCATGTGACGGACACAGCTGCTGTCCTTTGACGGCCACCTCGGGCATCACATATAGACAGCAAACATACACTGATTTACATAGCTCAGAGAACAGCTTTTTTCTTCTTCTTCTAGGAGAATTACTCGAAGGACTTGTTTGCCCTTTTACTTCTGTCATGGTGACTGTTTATTGAGGGAAATGCAAAGTTCAATAACGACAATAAAAATAACAATATTAATAATAATATCAATTAACTATATTCCGAATGAACAAGAAGCAAGGTCCGGCAGATTCCCCAGTCGTCTAGCACCCTGTTTCGTTTATATTTGCACTAAAATAAACTCTATACTAATCACATTACATATAGTTTTCAAATTCTTTATGCAGTGGTATTTTGTAAACGTCAACAGACCCGTATACAGGTAGAAAACCTGTCTATGGGGGGAGGGGGGGAGGGGGCGTCTAGGTCGTTCCTCTTGGGCCAGCTAGGCCCTATAGATAAAAAATGCTTAGCCAGCCCAAGAGGAACGACCTAGACGCCCCCTCTTGTGCCGGCTAAGCCATATAAAAAATAATAAAAAAATGCTTGCAAAATCCCAAACATTATTTTCTTTGCCTCTTCCAACCCTTCTTAGGCAAAACCATGTTCATTCAAAAAAAATCGCCCTCTGGAAAGTAAAAATTTTGTATATGGATATTTGAGGGGAATTATCACAAAAAAAATTGTATACAAATTGGGGAGACTTCTTGCGACTCGTCTCATCCCGACTGTCCTAGATTTATATAACGTGACCCGTAAGTAAAGAAAAGTGATACATATATGTGTACGCGCTATATCTTTTATCTTGTGTAGCTAATAAATGATTTACAAAGATAAGGATTGCACCTAAATATATGGGATCGTGTGTTTTTCGGTGTTAAATTAAAAAACTCATGTAACATGAACATTTAGCCGTATCCTTAAACAACGCATTTCTCTTCCCCTTTGGAGCAATTCCAACGAGGGGTTTATCAATGGGTTCTCAAAGAGGTGTTATTCTGCTGCTTTTCGTGTATGAAAACAATCGAGTCTGTTACTCGTGCGCATGATGCATGTCTGCCGGCGTTAAATCGGATACACAGCAAAGACGCATCCGAGAGAGAGAGAGAGAGAGAGAGAGAGAGAGAGAGAGAGAGAAAAGGAAGGAGTGGCAGACCAAGAGGCAGTTTGTAAAATCTTCAAGTTAAGAATATAACCTGTATTATAAAATGTTAAGAAAGGTGCTAAAGATGCTTTAGATATCTTATGTGGAGACACGGTTTCCAATGTAATGTGACATAAGTAAGGCCAACCAACGGCCCTAGCAATATCTTCGTGTAGGGCAGAATCTACGCAGTTTTTTTTTGCGTTCTTGGCACAATTAAACTCTTCAGCAGTATATTTATCTTAAATTCTGCATTACAGATCTTTAAAAAAAATAATAAATAAAAACGTAAGCCTCAAAGGGTACTATACATGTACATGGCGTTGAATTAGTGAGAGAATTCTCTGTTATGCGTAAAAATGGTAACCGTTTGTTTGTGTGTCGTGGCGATTCCCAAGTGACCCGCTGAGGAATTGTTTTACGCTCCAAGCACAGCTGCGTTCTTACGAGAAAAAAAAAATAACAAAGAAATATGGAAACATTAAAATAACACCTCGTGTTTGGTATTTGAGTGCATCTGTAGATCATATAACCTGACATTTTGTCGTCTTGTCACGTAACTTTTTTGTACCAGTATCTACCTCGTTCTTCGAAAAAGTGTGAAAAAAAAATGACTTTCTAGAAACAACAAACTCACATTCTTTCGTTACATACATTGGAACCGAAAGTGGAAACTGGTATACAAAGTAACGAATAATATTGCAGCTGTGTTATGATTAACGATTATTTTGCTATTGTGAAGGAATTCCAGTGACCTTAGTTCTTCGATGACAAATTCCTCGTCACATAAAGCTGAAGAAACTGAGGGCAAAATACACCTGTTCATTTGATGTTACCACTCTTAGGGAGACGTACGTTGACAGGACATGCAAAGTTCGGGGTACAATAAAAAAATTCAACTTTTGAGGTTTGCTGTCCCATTACGCTATTTTGCTTTCGTTCGCTTAATAGTCTGCAATAAATTTGAAGAGGCTTCGGAAGATTTTCATTATTTAAGAAAATCATTTTAGATTCAAACATTTGAGAAAATACTAAAACCGCATTATTTCTTTTTGTCTGTACATTTTAAAAGTTTTTTTCTTTTTTTTTTTTTGCAACAATCGGGCACTTTCTTATTTCTCATGTAACTGGAGAAGTGCACGTTCGCCTCAACGTAATATTTTTAACCATGTCGTGTTATGTGATTTAGTAGTGCCAGAGTATTAAACATAAATGATCATTGTAATCATCCTCCTTTGACTATCTGACCTCAGTTTTGTTGTAAACAAACCCATCAGAATGGCTGAAAACTGACATTACTGGATCAGATCCAAATGCTCCCCTCTCGTTCATGTTACAATATGTCACATACATGTCAAAATGATGGGAAAAACGGTGCAGATATGTTGTTGACAGGTTACAACTTCTCTCAGAAAAGATTGGGTCATATATATATATATATATGTGTTTGTGTGTGTGTGTTATGATAATTGAATTGTTAAATTAATGGAAAGACAAATTTAATGAATAGAATCAAGAGTGTCAATGCAAATCAAACACAACACATTACAATTATCTGTAAACTTCAGTTTTAGTTTTAATATTCAAATATATAAAAATACAATTCATAAAAGTATCAATCTTTTTCCTTCAAATTGTTGCTAGGATAAATTGCAGATAATAAATATAAAGAATGAAAAATACAAAATAATCACCTGTTGCATGAGTTATCTCTGGACAGTAATAAATGGCAAATAATCCTATAAAATGATAGATGTAATCACATTAAGGGATCTGGAATGTATAGTAAATAGCACATATAAGTGCAATTTGGGTTTTGTTTTTTATCTATCAGATGTGATTTAAATCTTAACAAGATATAAAAAAGGAAAAATATTCTCTTCTTGTCTGATATACATAACAAGTTACAGAAAAGAGCAGCTTAATGATGATGGTCCAGCCATCTTATCTTATTCTGCCATCTCAGAAATGTTCTGTCTCTACCATTTGTGAACTCATATCACGTAAGACTTGACGCACAAATTGTACAATATTGGTTTTAGTGAACTTGGTTGGACCTCGAGCGGCATCTGAAGGGGGAGGATAGAAGGCTGCATGATGATGGTCCTGCCATTGTATCAGACACAGCCTGGGGTACACATACATAGAGGGCGTTCCTGCTGTATCTGGAATTTCAAACACAGCAGATATCACAAAAAAATTAACTTAAAAAATACAAAATATTTATAATTATTAAACTACTTTCACACAATATGCCACTGACAATAAGAATTCTCACTCTTTGTTTGAAATAAAAAAAAAAAAGAGCCTCACATCAATGACATCATTTTGATAATCCATTGATGTTAAAACTTCCATTCTTTGAGCAAATGTCATCTCTAACTGTCTTTTAGGATAATTTACAATTTTCCCACACACCATCACTTTTGAGCATATGCTCTGGCTTAAGTTCAAAACTCTTTGAAGTAACCCAGTTTGTTTCCAAAGTGGAAATTTGGCAATATGCACATTTCTCAAAACAATATACTCCTTAATCTGCCAAGACAATGGATATTTATTAAAAATTCCCAAGCAGGGCCTATAAATGATAGCATATGGCCCTGAGGCAGAACTATTGCAGTGCCATCTGGTGACCTGGTGAAAAGGCACAGCTTGATGTGACCAGCTGCTGTCACTGGATGGTGTGTGAATGATGCAGTTAACAGGTACAAGATACTATATACCTGACAGTATGAGAATAGGAATAAGTATGTAGACAAAGCAAGGTAAAACGGCAGTCACAAAAATTATTGTAGACTGATGTTTTAAATTGTTGCATTGTCACCTACAGATAAACCGTTTATTTCTGGCCTTTTTCAGAGGGGGGAGGGGGAGGAAAATCTGCAATGTTTGTGTTATCAATTTGAAATATGTGGACAAATATAGACTTGACCTTTGAGACATTAAAGATAGCGGAACGAAAAAGGACAAATGCCATTAACTCAGACATGCAATAAGATTCTGTTTCACATATTTTGTCACAGTTTCATAATTTTGCAAACTTTTTATCTTATCTTATGGTACATCACTTTCCCAGTATGCATAAGCTACCAGCCTGATTCTATATTTAGAGGCAATTGTGACATTTCAGATAGGCTATGGGGAAAATACAGTGAATATTTGCACATTCAAATGTTACTTTTCAATGGACTACTTTTGACGTAAAACTCTTCATAATGCACATTAATCACCAATGCACTGAGGCAGACCAGTGACAAATGCCCTACTAAAGCCAAAATTAGATTTTAAATGGATTCAGAAAAAGCACCAATAAAAAAACTGTTTTTTGTAAAAATTATATCATCTTGTAATAATAATAAAAGTAATGAGTTCTTTAAAACTACAGTGCACAGTCTTTGTGAACTTCCTGCGCTTTTACGTAGTAAAATAAATAAAAAAATCTGCTATAATGAAAGTCAGTCCTTTCAGAGTGATATATCAATTAAGAATTTTTAGACTTCTCTACTCTAGTTAAATCTCAAAATATTTCATGGTATAAATAGTTTTCTGGCAAGCCTGTAATCTGTTATTTAATATTCCTGTAAATGTACGTGTTAAAATTCATTTTTTTTTTGCCCTTTCTATAGATCTGTCTGGAAGCTTTCCTACACACAATTTTTCTGCTTGATTCACTGCACATTGAACTTGAAATACGCCTACATATACATTACACCAAGGCAACACATCATAATATAAATATGCCTAAAAATAGAATTGCCTCACATTTCTATTTTAAGCTGTCATCTGGTTTCTATTTTTGGGCCTTTGCTGCACATATTTTGTGAAGTAAAAAAAAAAAAAAAAAAATCACAAGGCTGTTCTTCTTTCTTTTACAACAGTTATCTTTTCTTTCATCTATCCTCAGGCTAACTGTATGTTCATGTTCTTCCTGTCCCACTGTGCCACTACAGTTCAGGTCATATACCAAATTATTTTTCACATTGTATTTATGATAACAATACTGCCACCTGATAAGGATAATACAATAGGACTTTTTTTGCAAGAGAGAGAATGGGAGAGTTTGCTACCACTATGCTGTAGCTCTATATGAAATTATTTTAAGTTAGATAAAAGAGTTAGATTTTATGTTTTGAAGGTGGGTGTAGGCCTTTATGCCTGAATATACAATGATGGGGAGAACACAGTGGACTATTTACCCCCTGTACCCTTTTCCCCTTTCTTCCTCCCACACACAAGCAAAATGAGCTAAACAAAAACCAAGAAAATTTTCCATCCCTGCTTCTTGCGCATTTTACTTAAATTATCTTTGGCTAGTATTATATATTTTTATCCATGTTCCCCATTTGCATAACCTGGATTGGAATTGCCAACGGATATAAGAGAGAAAAAAAAAAAGGGAAAATGCAAAGAGACTTACTCATTGCCTGTACTTTGTAGTCTTTAGGCACAAAGTGGCTGGCCCAGGCAGAGTGATCATTTACATTAACAGTCACCACAACTATGTCCTGGTAAAGCTCTGAGGCAGCTCTGGTCAAAGACTGGAAGAAATACACATTTTATTTTACAATACAGGAAAAAGATACCATATATGTACTATTAGGAGGGAAAAACATATATTTTCATTTATTTTTAACTTCACATACAGCCATAATGTTTACCTAGGAGACAATACAATTTTAATTTAAACTGACGAATAGGATCAATAAAAAATAAACATATCTCCATGTGGTGGCAAATTGCTTCCAAATGCTTCAGGCCTTAAATAAAAAATATACAAATTCACAGATAGGTGGCAGCACTTGCCAAGTACAGCTTTACTTAGAAACGAATTGCTCATATGGTAGAGTAGTCAGATGTGATTTGATATGAGATCTAAACACAGTTAAGTGTGACACACTCACAAATCAATAAGTATAACCCTACTCATACCTTTAAAAATTTTGAATCTTCTCTGCCATTTTCATCATCTACCAGGGCCACAAGAATAGGAAGATTGGTGTTGGCTACAATACTAAAATAATGAAACCCAATATAGGTTTATATAAAGTAAAACAGTGATATTCTAGGAATTTCATCAGCTGTGTTTTTCACTCAAGGTAACAATAACAGTTCTATAAACAACAGCTTAATTCATGAATATCTGATCTACAATATTTCAGAGACATTCTGTTTTTGTTGAAATAAAATCAATTCCACTTTTTTCAATTTGTTCCCTATCATAACCTGAAACCATTACAGATAGAGATAAAAGAACATGCTTCTTTCCTGGTAGTGGCATTTAGGCATGCAATGAGCTGATAAAAATAACCCACAGTAAGAAGTTGACTCTTTAGAACAATTAATTGCTGTAAACCTACCTGTTCTTACTGTGAAAAGCGGCAGTGGTCATGCGTGTAACCGGAAGCCTTGCATGATCCTCTGCGTACGATACAATAAGATCAGTGCAGACAGCGTGGTTTTCTTCACACTTCAGACTTTGAGGAATTTCATACCTATTTTATAAAGATACGAACATACAAATATCAGATTAAGTCAAATAACAGAAACAAACAAACAAACAAACAAACAAACAAACAAACTACAAATTAATAATGTTAGGCAAAACAAAATCTGTTCCATGCAAATAGAGATATAAAATTTAATCAAAAACACAAATATCCAAGATTTCAAAATGTGTTCCATATGTAGCATGAAAGATACTGTAGGTGAAATTTGACAGTACAATTAAGGCAGAAACAGAAGTTGAATTGATTTCTGTTCTTTAAAATGTTTGAATATCTTATACTGTGTCTGGACAGAGCATACTAAAATAAAGATAAAATAAAATCATCACTGTACCTATGTGATGTATGGAATTGGTGCATTTTACTGTTCTTCTCCTTCTCTAGACGGCTGTGGAGTGTGTAGCCTAACTCCATAATGGATGCTTTAACACCATCTTTCCGATACAGCATCACCTTAAATGACGTAAAATTCTGATTAATCATTGATAGATAGCAATTTTCAGAGTTGAAATCTCTTCCCTTTGTTGATTAATAAGTAACCTTATCTTTGAAATATAATTCACAGACACCCCAGTAGGTGGTTGTAACTCTGATCACATAGCCTTCCTTCTGCAGCACTGAAACATTTGCATCTGTGAAACAAACTGTTGGGTCAATTTTAAAATGCATACCGTATGAAAATTCTTCTTCTTTTTATTACTATTATTAATAAATCATTTTCACCTTTGTTACCACCATATCTTGATTCAGATCCTCAAACTCTCTGGGTGGGATCTCATCGCTGTACTGTGTGTAACAGCCAGATCTGCCATACAACTGCTCACAGGCTAGCCGGAAACACTCGTATGGATAGAAGTAGCCAGAACGTTTCTTTGGAATGAAGGGCAAAAACTGGGAATTCTTTGGAGCAAGTTGGCCCACCAAGTAGACATCTTCCGGCTAAAAAATGTATGAAATTGAATCATCACCATCAATATGACTGTCAAGACTAATTTAACTGTTAATCAAGAATCGGTTTTTTATATGGTCAACAGGTGTTAAAATCATAACATGGTCACAAATTGCTAATAATTAATTATTGAGTCTTATAAATTTAATTCTACTAGGACTGAGACAACAACTATTAATATTTAAAGGTCAAAAGTAATTCATAGTTGCCTTTAAGATAAAAATGATATAGATATATGGACAGACAAATGAGAAATTCAAAAGATTATCATCAGAATGTTAAATAAAATTAAATCAACATGAATTCAAAATCATGCTATCACTTTCAAGTGGAACTAATTTTAAGGATTTTCATCCATTTATGAAAATCTATCCAGATGTAAAATAGCAGTTGTTCAGTTGACAGATGAATAATAAATCCAGGTAAATTTTTGTAATATCACTTGTTAATCACGACAATCTGAACAGCTTGAGGTAGAAAATTGCCAATTCACTGTAAGTATGGAGCCTTTTTGGTAGTACACATATGACTGGAATTTAATGATTACCAATTACTGCACTGAAACTGATGTAGAATAAACTAAACATTCATTCTTTTTAAAGTTAAAACAGAAGTATCAAGTCACGATGGTTTAAACAGTAAAACTATTTTCACAATTTCAAAAGGGTTTTTGTTGCTCTCTATGCTGTTGAACATTTGGCATGCATGGCAACAGTTAAAATGAGTAAATCACGGTCATGGCTATAAAAGACAGTGCAGTGAAAACAAATTATTTTCCTCAACAGCTCTCCATATAATGAATGCAGTTGAGTGATATTACGCATAGTTGCACAGCAATGTCTAAGAGAAATTGTATTGAGAAATTGCATTCCACATGTAAATCTAAAGCTGTTGTACACTAAATGGGACAATTCATGCAAATTAATATCATTTTAAGAACATTAAAATTTCAATAAGCTCTTTTTTCAAATGTTAAAGAACTAAAGGAAGTGTTGCGATAAATGAGATAATTTATGTGAAGGGAAATGTTCTTCTCCAAACATTATATCTGTAAGTGGGAGTTTTTCAGTTCCTTAAATATTTAGAACTTTGGCACCTTATAAACAGTAATAAAATCACATAATTTAAGGCATTCAGTGTAACCTAACTGTACCTTACCCTCTACTAGGGCCACAGATTAACTTTTTACTAGATATTCACAAATATGTCTTTAGATAAATAGACAGACAATTTGTTCTCTCTGAAGATTGACCATATTTAGCCAGAGACATTACCTGTGAATATCAAGTGATAGAGGGTATCTGTGGCTGGTGTTGCCCTTTGCTGCAGACATGGCCATAAATTATGAGAATAGCACATGTAATCATCGTTGATGAGATCCACTTTCAAAATGCTTCAGGTTGCAAAATTCTAAAGCAACACAAACTCAAATTATACTCTGTCATTAAATTCCAAAATGTAATAATTTTATTTCTGTTCATTTAACATGAAGATATAATGCAATAAATTTTTTACATAATTAATCAGAAATGACACCTCATCTTACTAAAGCTCTGAAAATTTACTAATTTGCATTACATTTAAGTGTTACAACAGATCTAGGATGCTTTAGAAAGTTCCACAACCTTCTACAAAATACTATTCTAAAAGTTAATCACATTCGCTCTTTGCTCATTCTATTTCCTGAATTTTCTGAACATTTGCCGTCAATGACATTTCGCAACTTGTCTCGTTAGCATCGATGCTGTGTCCATCAATCATTATTTTGCGCTGAAGGAGTCATTTTGTTGCTGTTAATATTCACCTCATGCACTATCAGCGTCATAGCCAGCTGCTATTAGGAACTGATGAATGACACATGCTATGGAGAGCCATTGTTTTTTTTTTTTTTTTTTTTTTTTTTTTTTTTTTTTTTTTTTTTTGGGGGGGGGATTACTTTTTTAATGATATGAGGGCTGCCATGGATCACCAAAACAAATATTTAATTATATTACAAAGAAATCAAGGTGTTCTAAATCATTACTTCAGCTATAACTTACTCTGAATAAGATACATTTAGATAGATTAATTTTTGCAAAATCTTAAACAAAACAAACAAATGAAAAGTGTCAAGGAAAGGACTCATAAAACTGAAATTAATGACAATGACATAAAATAATGTTGTCAGAAGGTTCAAAGATGAATAAGATGTGGCATATGAAAAAAAAAATGAGCTGTTTCACTTTAACTCAAATCAAGGTATATTTTATAATATATATATTTATATGTAAATTTTCATCAAATTATTTTATTTTATTTTTCTTGTGCTCAGAGATCCTTTTCCCTAAATGATAAACTCATGCTAACCTGTCATCGCTAGATAACAAGAAGAAAAATATGAGGTTCATGTTATCGACCTTCTTTATCTTAATACCCATCTAACTACCACATTACAAACCATCAGGCGATTTGTTACACTACCATTAGTGTCTTGTTGCTTGTGTGAGAATGAGACATTTTATCCATAATATAATGAATAGTTTCATAACACAGACTATGTCACTTGTGTCACATGAAACCTCTGCCAAAACAAACTTATCCTTTGCATGTGACAAGAAATTTGTGAATCCAGATTGCCTAACAAGAGCTCATTATGTTTTTTCTTTTTCTTTTCTTTTCTCTTTTTTTTTTTTTTTTTTGAATACTACTACGATTATTAACCTTCTTGAAAGTTCTGAATCTTCAGTTTAGGTCAACACTATTTTGCCTTTGTGGTTATTTTCTATTGTGAACTAACATGAACAATTAATTCTCAAGATAATAAACATTGCGAAAGGTTATCCCAAGGTATTTCTGAAACTGCTTGTGTATTCCTGTTACACAAGATGGTTCAACAGTCAGAACAGAGAAGAAAGAAGTTCTTGGTAGTATAATGGGTCAAAAGAATCACAAAGCCGACAAACATGTAGGGGCTGTTTAGAATGAGTTAGGTTGCAATAGCTAATGTGCACTAACTCCACAGGGACTCTTACTACATGCAATCACTTTAACGGATCAACATGTCTCAAACTACAGTTCAAGCCCCATTAAAAAAAAAACAGCCAAATCTCCAGATAGACTTCAGTAAACCCAATTAAAAACTTAAAAACACAAAAAAGCTTTAACTCAAAATGAAGAGCCAATGACCTTAATTTTATGACCTAAAAAACTAAGTTTCAACAGAAAAATCTTGTCTTGATACTGATTTTAACCTGACAATGGTGAAAATGGCTGACTTAATTTAGAAAGTTAACTGTATATCAAGGGGCTAACTGTCAGTGAATGCTAAAGCTCTGTCAATTATTTGGTGCCTATTATCTGAGTTTGACAGTCTCCACTACTTTAATTAACAATGTTCAGATTCTTTGTAGAAAATGGCCCAGATGTGACCTTCCATTACATTATTCAAACATACCACCTGACAACATGTGACCTGCAGAATGGATGAAAGAACCAAATTATCTTCTTGTCAAATGATAATTCATCAAGACAGACAGGCTGCTGACAAAGTAATTAATTAATTTAACAACACAGTTTTTGTTTGATACATGTATGCATATGTGTGTGTGTGTGTGTGTGTGTGTGTATGTGTGTGTGTGCATGTGCGTGTACATTTTCTTTTTTATATGGCATAAAATGTAACTTGAGTTCTTATACAATATTTAACTTTGATGGGAATCATCAAAGATAGCTTAAAGTATTGGCTAAAATCAAACAAGATTTCACAGGATTTGAAGGGAAATGGAGCCATAGTATATAATGGCAGACTAGCAATTGTGGTGTGGCTAGGAAGAGTTAAAGCAGACATAACGTCACTAAGAGGACATTTCCAGAACACAGGGTTACTAAAAAGTAAACCCCACCTCACATGAATTGTAACATTTTTCATCTCATGATGTCGTGCAGTGCCCACAGACTCAGTTGATTTCTTCTGCTACCACCCACCCACTCATACAACTCACTGATACAATACATTTCATAATAAAAGAAAAGTCCAAATTAATTAATTACTCATTTGCACATTATAAGGTATTTAAAGACATTTGTCTAGGATACTATATAGTTACCATTTGTATAATTATCAGAGAAGTTATATAATTATAACATGCCACTGTAAAGTGAAACATCTGTTCAAAAGATAATGTGAGTAAACTTAACCTAAAAAAAAAAAAGAAAAAAAAAGCAGATACAATTTTTAAAAGCTTTCCAATTATTATACATTGAATAGTATTTATCAAGAAAATTAAAGCATTACCATTGAAAAGTGGAACATCTGGGCATGACCTTTGTTCTTCACTGCTGTAGTTGAGACAGATGAAAACCATTCCATTACAGATGGCACCTTATTAACAAAGAAATTAAGTGAATCATTCAACAATCCACATATTAGAAATGTACTTTTTCAGGCTGCTTTGCATTTCATATAATTCTCATAATATGTTACCATCAACAAATGTTCACTAACAATCTTAATAACAGTATGTGGTTATCAAAAAATGATTTCAAGCCAGTATCACATGCCTAATAAAATTACACATACAAGTAAAACCCCATGGTAATCCATTCTAACATGCTGTGCTCTCTTGCTGGATTTATGAGACACACACTGGTCCTGTGCCAGCCAGCCTATCCCCCTAAACGCCACGAGGGTAGGGAAACCAGTGATCTCATGCTGCTCACATATAGAGGGATCTGATGTGCAGTTGGCAAGATAGGCTGAACCTCCATCTGTAACAAACAAACAATTTTGTTGTTATTCATTGAAATGTTTTTCCTTGCTTATAATTCAAGTTCATAACAAGAGTGACATCAAGTATATCCATTTACGTTTCAATCAAAACAACAGCATGCAATGGAAATTTGGAGTAGAGGAGTACATCAAAGGTTTTTGAAATACAAAATAACTTAAATTACCATTGCAGACAAGCATTTTAGTGCTTATTTGAAATTAGAATAAATAAATTAAAATCAAATTAAAATATAAAAGAGCTAGCACAAAACCAACAGTAAGTGCTACCTTGAAAGCATACATACCAATGAATTTCACTGCTTTCTGTAATTCAGCAAAAGTATTCATGTTTGAGGTGCAACTTTTACAGTCTGCGATAATAAAAATGACCTGTAAATGTGAGTAGTAATCATTTTTTATTATCAATAAAGCAACAACACACAATGTAAAGAAAGAAATGTCTATTCATCTCAAATTTCGAAGTAACATTTATTGTCATAATTTGTTACAATTTTAGCAAAAAATATTGGCATTAATTAACTCCCAAAGTTCTGGCTATACCCAAGTGGCAATAACCTGTATAAAATTTGACAGATACTGTTTCTAAAATAGAAATATCTTTTTAAAAATATCTTAAAAGACTTCATGTCTCTTTTTCTCTTCATTTGAACAGCTGCTGTTTTCAATCATCAAATGCCTTGTATTTTGCACTCTATTTAAGAGCTACTATGATATCAGCGATGTGACTGCAGAACATACCAATGTGACCTTGGTGACCTCTCCCCTCCACATCTCCCCGGAGATATATGGGTGCAGGGGGGCATGGGACTTCTCTATAACTTCTGACCATACCTCTGATGTTACCACTGGGATGTCATTCACTTTTTTCATTTTCTTTTCAACTGTTTCACTACCAAACTGGAAGATCAATGTTTTGTATAAGATATAGAATGTGAAACAAAATGTCTCATTGCCAGAACAGAAAAAAAACTAATATCTTTTGTGACTAATTCAGGAGAGGTCAGCAATTTTTATACAAACAAAAGTTAAGAACATACCAAAGATGCCACAAAGTTCTAAATATTTTATTCTATCAAAGCTCCGTCTATAAACAATCATTAAAAATTACACCTCATCTTAACTCTCTGGACCTAAAAAGAAGTGACATAAATTTTATTGAGAACAGAAGAAAATTTAATGCACATACACCATATGGCCCAAAAGAGACACATACAAAAAAGAAATCATGGCTTACTAAGCAGCAGTACATACAAATACAAGGCTAATTATACTACCTTAGTGTGCCAGTCCCAGCCAACCTTGTGTTTACTTTTTAGACTTTTCTTCACAATTTTCCTTTTGTGTACTTTATATATCCTAGGTGTGTGCTCAGTTTGGTTATGGTGGAGAGATGAACACATGGTTCCAATGGGACCCTCAAACTGCTCACATATCTAAATGATTGTGATTCATTTTCCATCATAAAACATTCAGTTGTTATTTGACCTCAGAACACATTTGCAAATTAGTAACTTTTCATTAGTTCTGTGAACTGTGTTCTTTTTACTTTTCAAACCTTTTTAAAATATACATGGCAATATTTTGCTTCGTGTAGCAAATAAAATATACAACAATGATCAATCTTCTTGTTTCCTCTGGATTTAATATTAAAGCCATCTTTTTTTTTTTATTATTATTATTAATACTATTATTATTATTATTTAAACTGCATTTTCACCTAAAATCTTATCTAAATGATTGGAAATTTCAAGAAAGAAACATTATTAAAATGCACCTATAATATGACCAAGAGAAAAACTTTACCTGAAAAGCATCCAATTGAACATATGGCTTGTACATCTCTCTGATTTTATCATTAATCAGAACCTTTAAATTCATTTTCTCCAGGAATCTTGATATAGCATCTGGTGTAGGCCTCTCATACAGTGGTGTCTGCTTGATTAAATTGGGTTTATTTCCTTAAAGAAATGGAAAATAAATGAAACGCTAAAACATGCAAGTATATGTATAAAATTCCCATTTTCATTTTAAGGGGCTAATATATGAGTGACAAAAATGATTTAAAGTAAACCAATTTTGCTATTTCATAACTATTCTGACAAATGCCGCAATTTAATATTGTTAATGGTGTTCACTAATCTGCCTCCTAACTTGCTTCAACAAGGCAGCAACATGGTGTATCGCCAGAGTCCAATGGTTATAGTCTAAAAGTTCTTTAAGTTGAGGGCTGATTGATCTGTAGATTCAGTAACAGAAAAGTAAAGAAGACAAGAATAGTTTCTATTGGTTGTATTTTTAAAACAAGTCTTTTAAACAGGGTTTCAGACCAATAAATCTTTAGACCAATAGACTTCAGACTAATGCACATCAGAACCAATGAACCTTTATGCCAAGGAAAAAAAAGTTAATTTTCTTTTCTTTTTCCTGATTTATGAACCTTTGGACCAACAAAACTTCTGACTCGAATTTCATTTTTTGACTGTTTGGACAAATCCTAAAAAAACTTTAATTTTTATTTGTCTGCATGAAACCAGTCAATTACCTTTTTCATTATTGACTTTGTTCCATATGGAACAGCATTACTAGAGGGATCTGCTTAAAATGTATACTGTTTAGACCTTGTAAGTGAACTGGAATGAAAATTTAAAAGTTACTGGTAAATGTCTGAATTTTTGCCACTTTATTTTCACTGAGATGATTAAAGCAACAAATATATAAGTCTTTTACTAACTAATACGTAATATAAGTTTATCTGAGGAAACACATTACACATATTAAATCCAAAAACTCCTTCAAATAAAAAAAATAATAATAAAAAAAAAAACTGAATACTTACTATGCGGTTGCTCTTTAAAATCTACAAGACCAAACTGAATTCTAGCATTTAAATCAGTCAAATCCTGCATTGTTTTTTGAAAGGCATACATGTATTGCAGGGAGGTGTTTGACCATGGAGCATAGAACAAAACAAGTGCAGGGAGGGATGCTGTGGAAGGCTGGAGAAGATGCTGTTTGATGTTTTCCTGAAATGGAACAAGCGGATCTTTCAATTCATAATGTTTTTTTTTCTCATTGATTTTCCACTTAGAAATTCATCCTTCACTACAGTTACTTGAATTAAGACTACAAGCCCCTATTATGTGCGACTGAAATTTGTGATGTCATCTAATTTCAAGTACGTATGTACCTTAGTTATTTGCATAGCAGAAGTGCTCTGGGCCATTAAGGTGAGACCAATTTGTTCATAAGCAAAAAAGCCCATTGAAATGGTCTTGATGACTTTTGGGTTTAGAGATTCTGAAAATGAAAAATAAAATTAATTAAAAGGACTTAAACATGGTGTAGAAATAAACATTTTACTTAAGTCCTTTTAGCCAAAATAATTTTTAATTGGAAAAATTACCTGGGCAGAGATATAAGTTTTAAACAGCCAGACACTCACCTGAATCATTTTTGACAATAACAATAGCAGGTGTTTCTGGATTCCCACACTTTCTAACCAATGACCTATAACGATACAGCACTCTTATAAAAATCAAATGACAAAAACAGTTTGTCTATTTTCAAAGTTAACCAAAACAAAAAAAAAAAAAAAAATGCAAGGTAGTACTAAGACAGATTAATTTAGAAATGAAATTTTATTCAGCACTGTAATTAGGCAAGGTCCTATTGACTTGCCTTTACAGTATCTATTAGAAACAGATGCATATTTACCTGGCTTCTAAAGAGTGCGGGTGTACAAATAGTACCTTGATACCTTCAAACTTGTTTCTAACCTTCAAAGAATAAAAGAACAATATCAGAATGTTTTTAACTTTAAGAAAAAATATAGGAATATGCATTGCCAAATAAGTATTTTGGCACAACTGGAGCAATTTTAACATATTCTTTGCATCTTAAAGAAATATATTCTAACTAATTTTTTTCCATTAATATATTCTGAAACTGATCATAGTCATACATAAAGATGTTCTATTTCTAAGAGTTAAGGATTTATACATAGCTCAGTGCTACTGTGAAAGACAAAACATAATTAAGTGTGTACTTTATAAATTTAAAGACAATTCTAGAATATTATGCCAGGATACAGGCCCGTAGCCAGGGGGGTTCAGGGGGTTCGAACGAACTGCCCTTTTTGCTGGGAAAAGGCACCATCTGGGTAAAATTTTATCCAGGTACACCATGGTTTCAAGGTACAAGCTCCACTTTTTCAGAAAAAAAAAAAACAGCTTTTTAAATTGCTGGTTATGGGCCTGGGGTGTACCTCAAATAACAGGTTCTCCATGTCATAATGACTAGTTTCATCTGAGAACCCTACAACAACCAGCTGGTGTTTGTTGATAACATCTCCCACAGCAGAGACTGTGGCCTCCTGGAGCTGGTCTGAGTGAAACTCTGCCTTAAGGAGACAATAATTATTGAATTTATGTAAAACAGTGACAGTAATTTAAGTACGGGTCTTAATCAAGCTGTTGTCCGTATTATCAAGTATATGATAGATGATGCTTGTATGGTTTTGTTTGAGTGAATAATCTAATTTTATAGTCTTTTCAGATAAAAAACATGTAAAATTGATTGATAAACATGCTAAAATGATAAACAATATCTTAAGTGTGTTAACATTTACCTACTTCATTATTTAGTTTATTAAAAAAGTGTCTCTACCTTCAGACCAAAAAACTGTTTGCTTACCAACTTTTCAAACCATCTTTTGAAGTATTTATATTTGGGTTTGTATGAGAACTCAAAAGGCTGTGCATGTCCCAAGTGACATCTCAGTGTTGGCAAGGCCCGGGGCAGTTCTAGCTGGGGTAAGAGATTCTTGAAAACAAATAGTAGTTATAAAGGGTAAAGCTTTGAATTGGATTTGCATAGTTCCACAAGAAAAACAGTGTAAAATATGGCTTCAGTTAAAAAATGGGTGTTCTTTAAATGACCCTGTTACTATAACTTTACATTCCTATCATCCTGAATGTACCAAAAATTATATTGACTTTATATTTCAGCTATGCAAATGTATTCAAACAATATTTAATCTTTAAAAATTACACAAAAAATACCTCTTAAACAATACAAACTATGCTTCTTTGATAAATTACTACTGAACCTACATGTGCTACATTTGCTGCATATGCACCAACTTCCCAGTGAGAATAACTGCTTTTCCTGTCCCTCTTTTTCCAGAACTGACAAAGCTTATTTTCCAGCTCAGAACCTTCCCCTAAAAATATGTTATTCTTAGATTTTATTACATCACAATAGGTAAAATCAGTTTATACACAAAATAAGTACCATAATATAATACTATAAATAATTGTCAAAGGATAAATTTCAGAAAAAAATAGAAATAAACAAATAGTTTGTTACTAGTTAATAATTCTATTGTGGTAATAAAATACATACTACAGTACATGTGCACCTCCCAAACAACATTACTATTATCAAAAGTTATATAACTGAACTTCGCTCTGCATCACTGACATAAGCTAAACCAGATATACTACTAACCTGATCTCCTGTATAAAAGACACAGTGGGAGATGTCTTGATATCTTCAGATGCCTTTCCACAACAGAAGGAGGCAGTTCTTTGAAACAAGGACCTAAAATTTCAGGTGAAATGTAAAGGTATGCTATCCAGTATTTGCCTTAATTTCTTACATCTAAAAAAGTCCTTGTTTATCCTGTATATAATCAAGAACTCTATCCTTGTTTCTAATATTTGGAATTTACGTAACAATGTAATTTATTCGAATCAGTCGCCTTTCCACTGGCTCCGGCTGGAGGCTACAAGAGCAACTTCCCACTTTGTCTCAGTTTTCGGGCTTACAAGCTCACGGTAAGGGTACCGTGAGCTTGTAAGGCCGAAAACTGAGGCAACTTCCCACTGCCCCGACGTCCACAGCGTTTACGATTGGGCATCCTTCTTGAGTAAATAAATCTCTACGTACATCCACTGCCAAAATATATTTTGAACAACTCACCATTATGCTCTCCCGTAGATTGTGAATAAATAATGAGTAAAATTGCGTGTATTTGGATAATATAATGAATTTCAAAACCCATCTTGGCCATGTTGTTTACAAGCTCAAAAAGGAGGAAAACTAAACACCGATACAATGTTGAAGACAAGAGAAACCAAACGCCACGTTTCATGTCCATAAATACCACAAACAGAGATGGGAACTCAATTTAAGCTAGGGATTAAAGTGATTGATTTGTTAATTTAAAGGCCTTATGCTTAGAATTTGTTATCATGTATTGCGTGTTTGACATTTAATTGTGTGTATAGTTATTTTTTAATCAGTAAAATGTATATTTGCAACCTTTGTTAGATTTAAATCAATTTTCCTATTACACTTTTTGGGGGCATGTACATCTCACTTATTATTCAAGCAAATTACAAAAACAGTAAAAACACATTCAAACTTTGAAATATATATTTCATAACAAACTATGTGGCACTGAATGTTCTTGATACATAATGTATATTTACATGATCCCAATAGACTTAATGTGTATATCAGAATTTTTCATTGTGTTCCTATTAAACATTAACATACAAACAAGGCTACACGCAGTGTTATGTAACCATATCACATAGCTACTTATCTACCATTAAAAAACCCAAAGCATTTAAGTCACTTATATGAAACACTATAATCAAATAAACATAATATGAAAGCTTAAAACATAATTAATCAGCTAAAAATTCTGTCAAGTATATCAATATACCATTAATATTACATAATCTGTGCCTCATATGCTAAAAACTGGACTTTTAAAAAGTTGCATATTCACTATAGAATTAATAATTGAGTATAGTTGAATAACAATATTTTTTAAAAACTGATTCATGAGACTAGTTCTTGTTGGTTGTTTTAAGCATCAGTTCCTGTTGGTTTCTGTAAACATTAATACAAAGTCACAAAACAAAAAGAACACCCTGTGGTTGATTAATCAAAGATGCATCACATTACACAAATGGCTTGTTAGGAATTACATAACAATCTGATAATCTAAGGCATATTTCTAATATTTATCATAAAGATATGATTTTCAACTTAACTATTTTATCTATAATTACCTTGTTGGAAACAAATATTAAGCAAGTGTCCTTAACAAGTGGAAGTCAACATAATTTCTTGTTTCAATACTATTTGATCAGAGGCAAACACACAGGTGATTGAACCCCTCTCTCTCTCTCTCTCTCTCTCTCTCTCTCTCTCTCTCTCTCTCTCTCTCTCTCTCTCTCTCATGCACACACATAAACAACTTTTCCTAAACATGTTCAGACAATTTTCATTATTTTTCACACACAAATGAGCAGCTGAAATGATAATAATAATAAAAAAAAAAAAAACAAGAAACATCCGTCAACAAGTATATATTGGCCAGAATTCATTGACATTTAAGCTAAGTACCAAGTTGAACATCTTAGGCAAGCCAACAGTCCACTGTATTACTGACAAATCACAATAAACATTTGACTCAATCACACTATTCTATCTGCAATTCTCAAGCCACAAAACACAACATGATAATTACAGAACATTTAGAGAGGCCCTAACTAAAATGGCGACTCACACATACAAATTGCATTCAGTATTATAAGATCAACCTTTACATTAACAGTAAACTAAATCCTTTTAAGACTCATAACTAAACACAAAATACATAGCCAAAACCACAAAGGCATCAAGTGTGGTCCATTAAATTACTATACACACTATACAAGCAATTTTAGGGTTTGTTTTTATTTTTTTATATCTATCCCCACCTGTACCTGCTATGGCTAAAATCTACTATGCCTATATGTTATGAAAGTATTTACATATGAAAAAATCAGTCAATGAAATATTACTGGTTATAAATAAATAAATAAATAAATAGTAGATAACATCCAACCATGACTGAAATACCTTAACATTTTCACACATCCTGAAAGACTGTAGTATATTAAAGTGAGCGTGCATACTCGAGAGATTTTTGAAGAGAAGTGTCTGCATATGTGTATTGCATGTATATATATGTATATACTTTGCAAATAAGTTTTCCTTAAAAGGCTTTCCTTAAATTAGAAGACACAGAACAAGTTTATAGAATAGACTGTCCAACTTGAATTTTTTGTTCGAAATCCTCAAGATATATTCAATGGATAGCTTATTCCAAAAATGTAATAAATGTGTAAATTCTGGCACTTTTTTTTCAATCCTGAATTATAACAATCATATTTAGAACAAATGCTGTCCCCTTACTCTGTATACACTCTGTATACACTCTGTGAGTAACACCAATTTTTACAAACCCTGTATTTGTTGACAAAGAATTCAAAGTAGCTTGCAAAACATTACAACAGAAAGTGACACCAGATTTTTTTCTGGTTCTGAATTATCGTCCCAATAAAAATGTATTTTCTCTACATGACATGATGATGTATCATATTAAACACATACAAAACATGATTTTCACTATCCATTCATTCTTGTACACACAGAATCAGTGTTAGTGAGAGATGAATGTTCAGGTTCATGTCACTTTCAAAACACTACCAGAAAATACTTGTGGCCCTCCCCAAGGATCAACTTCATTCACACTCTGAGATATCTGAGGTAGTAATGAGCTTGGTACTGTCTTATTTGCTCATAATAATAATGCATAAATTACACATCCCAAATTACACATCAGCTGCTACATGCATAAAACTGGACCTGTGATGATAAAATGGCCTTGTTTATGTATATATATATATAATAAATAAATGCATTTGTACAAAACAGAACACAATTAAGTTTAGGATACAGAAAAGAAGTCCAAAGAGCCCCAAAACCAACTTATAGGACATTTGTAATCCCTACAACTAACCCCTAATGTATGTTTATAGTTCCATACTCTTAAGTAAAATATTTTATGTTATTTAACTTATTGCCTAAACAAGCAAACAAAGACACCAACAGTCTTAACTCTAAAAATATGAAAAAAAAAATGTATAATTTGCTAAGAGGCATCCTTAAAAGGTAGTAACAGCTCAGACGCTGCTAATTTTTAAATACAGACCGTAAGCACATTTTAAAACAAAACAAAAGATTATGAGGCTGGTTATAATTAACACAGTACTTAGGAAGTTGGCAAAATTAATAAAATATTCTCCATTTTCTATTGCCTAATAAGTAAATTCACAATTGTGAGAATATTCATAACAGAGGTCTAGCAAACTTGGGCATCCCATCAACACAATGAGCAGTATCATCTTTGGCGTCTGTGCTTCACACCACAAAATCTGGAACAAGTGCCAGGGAGATGGAATGCAGCTGGACACCCTCGTGTCAAAGATGATACCCAAGTTACCGTTATGCTAAGACTTTGGTTTGATATGTTATCACAATTCTTCCAACGTATTATTGTATTCAATCAAAACACAAGGGTCATCTCTGTGCTCTCATTTCCCAAATTAGTCATTGGAAGATCAATTCCTGCCTGTTCCTCCCCCTCCTCCTCCTCCTCCTCCTCACCCGCCTCTTTGTTCCCTGCTGCTACATCTCTCCATGAACAAAGAATGTGAATGAAGTTGATCTCAAGGTAATGTCACAAGTCAGGGAACCTGTTGGGATCCTCAGTATAGTCCTTGGGAATCATGAACTTCTCATCCCCTATGTCGTGCATCCAGTCAAACTCCTGGAAAGTCACCCGAGCTGTCACAGTGGGAAAAACTGGGATTTCTGAAAGGAACATGATATGAAATGCTTATAAAACATATGGCTTCTCTTTCATTCAGTATTAGAAATGAATAGCCCTTATAATATCATACTAAAATATACCTCTAAAGACTTCTTACAGCATTACTACTGAATACAAACTTAAATTATGAAAATGTTATGTATATCAAAATAACCAACTTTTACATCAGTTTGCAAAGATCAATCTTTGACTTAAAAAATAATTCTCATTGACCATAAATAATGAATATTGGTTTGAGTTAACTCTGAATTGTTTAAACCTACCTATTTTAACAGGAAACCCAGGTGGAAGTTTTGTGATCATAAATTCCCGTAACTTGCTGAAGTGTTTGAATGGAGCAATAATTTCCAGAACATCAAGCAACCTTAAACAAAAAGGAGAAATAGTGATTCATAGGCATGTTGCTCATATTTTAATTTTTGATTTTCATTTAATTTGAAAACTTATTACCCAAAATTTCATCATCTAGTCAACATTGATAAACATTTGCAGACATAGGATTTAGAGTAAAACATAGAATTTCAAATAATTAAGTGCAACACAGAAATCCAATTAGACATCTCTATAAGACATTTATAAAGCAATCAATATATAAAATAAACTTCAAACAGCATTGATTCCAAAAATATGTATTTCAAAGAGAAAACTTACGCTTCTATCGTCATTGGAAACTCTTCACTCTGAAGAAGCAATACAATTAACATAATATGAGAGAGCACTCTACTATTCATTACAAAAGGCATAAATGAATAAATTCTTGCACCAGACTTAGTCATTGATATCAATGCCTTAAAAATTAAACATATACTTTCAAACTACCTATAATAACCAAACAAAGCACACAAACTATAAAATATTAATAAATAAAAAAATAATATAATATAATATAATATAATATAATATAATATAATATAATATAATATAATTATTATATAATAATTTATAATGAAAATAAGTTCTCACCATAGCTAATGTTGCTTTAAATGTCTTGGCATTTTCTTTGCAGAGCATCCTCCGGCCAAGTGTTGGTGGTCGCCCAGGTTCAGCATTTAAATATTCTTCCCATGTCACCGAAGTTTCTGGAGGTGGTCGTAGGGATGGCCTACGCTGAATGTGTTCGTAATTGTCAATTATGTTGCCTTTACTTAGGTTTTCCATTATCTGTTTATTTTTCTGGAGATCTTCTGGTGACAAATGTTCTCGCCTGTTTGAAAAGATTTTGATAAAATTGAATCCCCTAAGGCAAGAGAAAATTTAAAAACTATTACCCACCATCTCTCTCTCTTTTTCGCACCCCCCTCCCCCAAAGAAAAAAAACTTTTTCATATCTTCATATCTCAAAAAGAAAGTAATACAGTGAACTGACCCACAATACTAAATATATGAACAAACAAGACGGATCAGAGTGAAACCATGTGTACCGCCAGCACCTACGCTGGTGGTACAATAATACACACACACACACACACAAAAAAAAAAAAAAAAAAAAAACTAGAGTATACATATTTATGGCCATAGAATCACTGTAGGGAAAATGCAATGAAGTATCCAAACGTTCGCCTTGACAGAGTCAACATCCTTTATGGTAGCACCCAAAGGGAAATGTGCCAATGTTCATTAAATGAAGTACACTTCAAGATCAACAACTTTGGTCAAAAGTATATTCATGTTTTTTTCTTCTTTTTTTATTCATATTCATGCTGTGATGATCTATTTTCTTTAGTAAATATTTTAATCTCACCTCTTCCTGGATTCTAGTGCCAAACCATGGACTGTATAAAAATCAGCTTGGAATGAACCCACAATTTCCTGAAATGTGTATTTTCTGGATAATCAGGCACTCATATTTCATAATCTATATTTACTACTAAACTACTAACTGTACAAAAAATTGCCATAAATTTCTATAAATTGACAGTACAACTCTTTTTGAGGAAATCAGTCCCTTATATTCAAATGAGATGGTAAACAATATCTACTTAAAAGATATCTCAAAGTTCATTTTATTCTGGGAACTTACATTCAGGATTATGATATGCTGAAAGTTGCATAAGACATAAAACATTTTAATCAACAATTCACATCAACATACTGGTTCAAAGGTGCGTATGTGAATGCACGTGTAAGTGCAAATGTGAATGTGTTTGCTCGCACACATATGAATGTGTGTGTTTTCCTTACACTTCTTTCCTCTCGAAAGAACCATCCTCTTTGTGCTCTGGAGAAAGAGATTTTCTTTGTGGACATTTGTGCGGCCATGATGTCGCTGCTCATCAAAATGTCTACCTCATCCTCCAATTCCAAGTCTGACTCCTGTAATTAGAATTGGAAAGAATCATTCATGGCACAGTAGGTTTTTGTTATGGAGACTGCATCTCACATTACATTGTTAAGGACTGAGAAGAAATATTACCATCACATTTCTAACACACTTATTTTTGCTGACTTGAACATAAGGTGTGTGGTTATGCACAAAAGGTGAACAATCTTTCATCGAAAACCACATCTTATCAAAAAATGATCATCACCTAAAACAAATAATTAAGTAAATGAAAAAATATCAGAAAAATACAAATTTGGCATTCAATATATTTCATCTATTTGTCTAGGTTACCTCATATCGTATACTCTGAAAGACTTGCAATTTGTTGTCTAGAACAGTCAGTGAATTAGCAGGTTTTGCTTCACCAGTAAAAATAAAACTTATGTCCCCTCTCTCCCATTTCATGTCATTGAAATCCACTAGAGTAGTGTCCATTCTGAAACCACCAAAACACAATTGAATTACTGAGTAATCTTTCTAAATGCCAGTCCTACTCAATTATCAAAACAACTTCCTCTTGAGGTATCTCATTTCACTGAGCAGCATCGTTATTCTTATTGTTAATGCACTTTTCAGTAATCAATAATCTGCAAAACGAACTATATCTGAAAATTATGCAACTCAGGGCCTTTTTTTTTTGGTGCATATGCAATTTCCTGGGAAATCCTTTCATTTAGAGGTGGCAATTTACAACAGTCTATCACAAAATATAATATTTGCGTCCAACAATTTGAGGTACATGAAACGTACTGCCCTAGGCCCAGGCTAACCCTTAATGAACAAATCAATCAGAAACTAGCACAAAAGTGTCATTTTTTAAAGTAATCATTTTTAGCCCAAGGTAAACCCAGCACAATCTGGTAGGGACCTAAAAACCATTCCATCACTTAGAAAAATTATTGACTAATGAATCAAAGCAAAAACGAAATCTTAAGGTTTAATAGGGAAAATTCATTGTTGATCCTTCATTTCATTATATTAGACTCATTTTCCAAAGGTCAACTGAACCATTAATCAAAAATCTCATACAAAATGGGCCATCAAGGAAATAAAAAATCATACCGTATATTTGGTCCCCTTTTCCATATTCTGCACACATCAGATGGAAGAATTCTAGATACTAGTGGAACTGAAATGCAAGACAAATAAATTTAATGTTTAAAAAAAAATATTTTTCACTGACCATTTGGGGCAATTAGCTAGAGAAAGTTAGTGACCCACTGTTAAACTGACACAAGAACATTACTCAAACTTGTGACACCTTTAACTCATATTGTGCAAATATGTATTTACCTGAAGTATTTGGTTAAGTTTTGAGACCTGATTTTATTCTCTTTATAATAAGCTTTAAATCTAAGGCCCTTTTCACACCGAGTGATGCCCTTTGGTGATAAAACTATATTGGTTCATACAGGGGGACTGAAACCTTCACTGCCTGACTATTACATAAGTTCATTTAAGAATTTCACCTGAACATTTCCCCCTATGCTCAACATAGCTGATTAATTAATTTAACTAACAGCAGAAGTGCAAGAAGGACCAGACTTTCAAAAATTGATTCTTTACCCCAGCTCTGAAAGTCCCATTTCAGTTCTAGATAAAAATCACCCAGTTCATGTAAAGCACTGACTAAGGCTGGTCTGCGTTCCTCTAACGCTTCTCTGGACTGTTGTTTCAACTTCCGTAATAAAATCAAAACTGCAAAAGAAAAAATTCTTGTTGATATAATATTTAACAAATAATTTTATTTGAAAGTATTTTCTGGGCAACTTAAAATCTTACCACCTGTTTTCGATAGAGATACCAATATTTTCAATTTACTACTAGATAATAAGTGAAAAAACCTAGTAAGATTCAGAAATACAGAAGCCATTAAATAGCACAAATGGCTTTCTAAGTAACAGCTTTTAACATCTGCTCACCACAAATATTGTACAATTCATCAGATCATCTGTGACAAAAAATTGGTTTGAACATCTTAGAAAGGTTTTTCAAACTAATAACACATACACACACTTGAACCTGAACTATGAACTACCAACCACAGGCAAGATAACTCTTATTACAAGATAACATGCAACCTTGTTTTTCAAAACTTGTGTAATGGTTTGCCATCAAGAGAAAAAACCTGCATTACACGTTTTTCTTATAAATGATACCAGCATAAAATTTACTTTCCAATGGATAAACACAATGCAATTAGACGTCACAGTAAGAAGACAATATATAATATATTTTTCATTGACTAAGGGCTTTCAATATTTTGATATGCTGATATGGGTGCTAGGCAAAAATATGCTTGAAACAAGACATTATATTCTACAGTGTGTTCTCTCATATGTACCTTGATGATTTATCACTTACTTATTTGTCTGTCTCCATAGCTTACAGATTCTGCCAAGGGACTCCAGCCAAGAGCATTTTTTACCTTGACGGGAGCTCCATGGGCGAGAAGTAGATGAACACATTCTGAAAAATAAAATAAATAAATTTCAAATCAGAAAAATCCAACTGATCATTATAAACATGAATATTAAAAAAATATCAAAGTATGCATGCATGCTGAAAAGAATTTAAATACTATGTCAGTTAAAACCTTCAAAAATTTATAAAATCTTTGAAAACCTTTAAAAAGATATAAAACCTCTGATATTCAACAGGCCCCATTAACAATAATGATGTTAACAACTTAAAGTAATTAAGCATAGGATATAAACACACATTAAGTGCATAAACCACTTTTTGTTGAACTTGTCTAAAACAACACTTTTTGATTACAGTAGTTGCCATAAATCAAGGTCACAAAAAATAATCAAACTTAGCCTGTCCTTACGAACCTCAGCACCCGTCACCTATACTGACACAGTTTTAAATCATGCAGAGGGGATGGTGGAATTTGAAAAAAAATCACTTAGCATGTGCTAAGACTTGATTTTCTCAGGGTGTCAAAAACTTATGGTGAAGGTCAGGAAAGGAAGATCAAAGGTTGGTTTGTCAGCGAAAAATACCCCCCCCCCCTCCCACCAAATTTAATCAGTACTAGTATGTTCTTTATTTGTTTGTTTGATTTTATTTATTTATTTATTTATTTATTTATTTATTTCTGTCTTGCATGAAAATCTAGTCATCTTTTACAGCTGCTATGGGGATACTCTTCAGGAAGTTTATGATAAAATACCATCATGTCTTTATTGTAGCTACACTACCTGGCTGCATACTTACTTCTTTGGTGTTATATTACATTTGTTAAATACTTGAGCATGTACATGTACAGGTGTGCAAGGGGACTTAAGTGTCTTAAATACAGCTTTGATTACATTTCCTATTTACTTTCTTTATACAACATATTTATGCAAGGATCTAGCCTGCATGTGCAAATCCATGCACATACAGAAGCTAATTTGAATCGGCACAAACTTGTTACTGTATATATCTTTAAGCAATGTTTGTCACTGCTCCATATTAACTGCAGATTCAGCATGGACCATGGAGAAAAAAACCAAATATCTGAAATTCATATTCTTAATAATTCACAAAGGACAGGAAGGTGTTGGGTATAAGAAGAAAGTACTGAAAACTCATTAATGAAAAAAAAAGACATGTATAGCTCTCTTTTTTGGAGTGTATTAACACTTCAATTATAAAACGGGTGCTGACATAAGCACTATGCGGTCATTGATTATTTCAGGGGAAGTTTAACAAAACTCAACAGGAAATCAATATTAAACTACAGAAATATATTCATGCCAATTTTATCTAACTGCCGTGTGTGAAGTGATCAAAGTCATTGTTTTTATAATTCTGAGGTATCTCTGTTGTATATCTCTGTTGCACAGAAGATAAGAAATTAATTACTTTTTTTCTAATTATAAATTTCTGAGGATTACATCTACAGAGCTGATGTGGGTAGACAAATCAGTAAACAACCACTTCCCTGCTAAATGTCTAAAATCAATGCTGATTATTAGGTCTGGTTAAAGGTTTGCCTTAAAAAACTCCTACTTTTTATTAACATAAGGATCAATGGTGGAATGGTAAATAGTTAATCTAAAAATATCAATGAAAACTTTTGTCTTATTATCAGACACCCTGAAATTTTCCCACAACTTTCAGTGTACCCAGCATACAAGGGAAGTATAGGTACATCAAAGGCAGAGATGATGGAAAAATGTTTGTTCTTCACTTCAGTATGTGTTTTTGAATGCAGACATAGTTGGAAAACAGCGTCACTAATGTTAAGTGCCTAAGGGAACACAAATCATACCTCTATTGTAAATTTATGTAACATATTGATGATGAACACACAGTCAATAACAATAATACTTGCTACTTTGTATTCCAACAGTGTGTGCATACAGGAAAAAACATTGTGTAGGTTATAAAATTACTTTAGAAAAGTAGAATTTATTCAGACTCACCTTTGTGTCCCATCATCACTGCCAAATGCAAAGGCGTGTTACCTGTAAAATTTCAGAAAATGTTTCTAATCATTTGTTGACACCAGAAAGGCAAATACAATATTATACAGCTTAACCACTCTTAAATACCCTCAAGAAATAAATAATCTTCATACCTTTTTTAATAGTTTCTTTGTTAGCTACTTACATACATATTAATCTTTACGAATTAAAGATCAATACCTATGTCTATCCTAATTCCCTTACACTTTAACAATTTGACAGTGGTATATCTAATCAGTTCCCTTGTAATTAAAATGATAACAAATTTATTAGCAAAGGCTCATTATATGCCCATATGCTCTGCTTTCCATTTAACCAACTGATTAGAATACTTGACATAACAAAAAATGTTTCTGGCAATAACGGTAAAGTGTAAGGTATAGGTTTATTGCAACTATAAATTAAAACCGTGCTTTCATTAGTTTTAACTGAAACAGCTAAAATGCCTAACTTCATGACAGACACTTGATTGCAAATCCCCCCTTTGCAATCATTTTGTAATCCATTACCAACCATGAACAAGATAACAGAAGGTATACATTAGGTGTTTGTGTGTATGGAGGTGGGGGGGGGGGTTTATTAACTGCTCCTGGGGGGGGTTTATTAACTGCTCCTGATATAACATTGATTTGTAATCTATGGTATCTTCTGGGGTTAAAAGATCTACTGATTTTGTATAAATTAACTTTAAGAAAAGTGCAGAATGACACTGCACTGCAAAATCATTCCTTGGCACTTTAAAACTGCATAATCTTTACTTTGACATAATATCAAAGTACATAAGACTTTCAGTCATAGTGTATAAGGGATTAATATTAAGACACTGCCTCAAGTGCTTCTCATCAAGACTTTTCATAGACATAATCTGCGAACTACCAGTGTGACTTTAAAGTAATAGTAATAGCTCAAATTATCACCTGATCCATAAATAAGTATTTTCAACATCAAAGCTAGTCCCCCCAAAAAAGTTTGTTTAAATAAATAATAACTATCAGGTGATAAAAACTTGTTAATTACCTTTATTGAAAATATGATTTTTTGTTATTTATTTAATTGTAAATGTTTTGACATTAATGACAATTTTACTCCAGTTATACAAAATACAAAGCCACAAGAATACTAATGCCAGTATGTTACATAACTAGGATATTATTTCAATGTGATAACCATACAACCCAGCTTGTCTGAAACAAGGATATCCATCAACTAGGTTAGAACCATATTTTCAATTAACACTAAAGGCAAGCTGCATAACAGAAATAAATTAGGGGTGCTCTCTGTGTTTGTGCACTTTTCAGGGAACTCCAAGGAGAGGATTGGGTCAGGTCACAGGAATTGGAAGCTGGTATGCTTCAAGTGCACTGATGTAGGCCAGTTATAGAATTTGTTTCATAAGCAAAATTCAATTAACAATAAATCAAACACTTGACAGTAACCATGCGATCAAAAATCAATAGCAGAGTAGTTTTCCTGTATTCAGCAAATGCTCATTTCTGACTAACATGATAATAATAATTATTATTATTATTATTCTAAACGCATTTTTCTCACAAAATCAAGTAACAAGTCAGCTAAAGCTGATATATAATGTAGACAACCTTTAGCAGTTTAAACATGTATATTAAAATAATAATCATTTAAAGATTTAAAGATGATAGTGCACAAAACCAATCAATTTTGTATGTTATTGTCTATTATTGCCAAGAAGAGCCATTTTCCAACATGGTGAGTGACCTGACGACAAACAGGTTGTGCCGATTTGTTAAGTTACATCAATGTCACTTAATTTCCTTGTTATATATTTTGCTTTTATATAACCCCTATCTTGTTAGGAATGACCATTTCTTGTGTTTACTTGCAACTGAATTGTTTTGTCAAGTGAATTGCACTGTGTTGGGCTGTATTGCGCAGTACAGTCTGATTGCAAAAAGTGGTGGGTTTGCAGCCTGCGACTTATGGAGGTGAGAGGGACATTAAGTTGAAGATATGAGAGCACCCACAATAGCAGTAGTTAGTCATAATTTTACAGTTACTTCACATATTTTCCATGTGTAAGCTCATACACTACGTATAAGAAAATGTTAATAGGAATACTAAAGCATGGCAATAATCACGCTACTTTGTACAATGTAAATGGGGTAGATTTACTTTAGTAATGTATATGTAGCAGTCACAATCACGATAAAATATAAGGCAAACACACGGGTCCTTAAGCATTCAGTACAACGATTTTCAATGCAGCATGGTTTGATTTGTCGACTATCGAATCAATATATATACGCTCGATTGTAATCATTCAAATCGATTGAACTGCAACTTTCTGTCTGAACCACCACTGTACTCCGTTGCCACATTGCCATTGAATTTACACTCAACCAAAATAATAACTCAATGAAGTAACATTTGACAAACTTGTTCAAAATTTCAATATATTCCAAGATTTCACTTACCATGGTGATCTCTCTGTGCAATATCATGACTCCGTAAGAGTTGTGCAACTCGTCTAATATCATCATGAAATACAGATTCGTGAAGAAGGAATCTCTCCTCCTCCGCCATCATGTCACTTTTGGTCACGTGACTTTGTTTTCAATCAACGTAAGATATAAAACAGTATTTCGTGTTTCTCAGATGATCGATATCGTCACAAATATAGATAAATATAAGTTAGACGTTTCTTCTTTTCTCAAGCATGACATTAATTTTTTTAAAGAATTAATCCGATGTCAGATTCCGGAGCTTTTCCGGAGGTGTGTCTCTACGAGAAGCGAAAGGGGTGATTTGCAGAATCATAAACTTTTAGTCAAATATCAAACAAATGTTAAATGTAACATAACATAACGTAAAATAAATAAGAATGGAGTAAAAACACGTATTTTTGTTTATAAAACAGTTAAATGTTTTCATTCAATGTATATATCTTTTTATGAAAATGGTGTGTGCCACTTGTTTTCCTTTCGATCCTAGCCTTAACCTTGACTATAAAGCTCCGGCAACCACAGTAACAAATCCAGTGAGCATTTTAATGCGTCTCGAGAACCGGCATGGAAGGGACAACCACGTTTCCACATTTTGCGACTGATGCGATCCACGAGGGACAGGAGCCAGAGCAGTGGAATTCAATGGCTGTCGTGCCACCGATTTCTTTAGCTGCAACATTCAAGCAAAGTGCACCTGGAAAACACGCGGTAAGGCCACGCGTCAATGTTTACATTGCTATCACTTGTCACATTGGTAGGCGCCTTGTATCAGGGAATGATTTGTTGTCACTTGAAATTTTACAACTTGCACCCTCTTTGAAATCACCGTATGGAAGCTGCATGTATAACAGCGGGTTAGGTATATAACTGCATTCGTGAATTAATTTCACGTCCGCTGATACTGTACTATAGATCTCAATTACTCAGTACTTTGGGGGAAAGGTGTAAGCCTGCATTGTAGTATTAGTTGGTTGGGTACTGTAGTTATCCCTCCCTGCCTACAGAGTCATTAAAATAAGCAAAATGTAATGTTTGTCAATTTTTAAGTCAGTGCCTTAGTCTTTAAGCTACCTGTAGGTCACCACTATGCAGTTACAGGTACACAAAAAATAAACAGATACATTAAAACACAGCATCAACAATCTGTACCAAAAACTTTATATACTACTAACCTTTTGGGCAATCAGGGTCTTAAAGTGGGCTAGTGTTTTATGGCATTTGATTATTATTATTTACCAGTCCGGTGCCTTTTTTGGTGGGCAATTTGCCTCAAGCTAGTGCCTAACAGTGCATCATGACCTGAGGTGCCTCTTGCATCATGTACATGTAAGCAAATTCAATATGTAGGCTATCAGCTACTGATCCTTATATCATGGTACAGCCTTTGGGTCAGGTTTTTAAATTCTATGATCTTCCAGATGCTAATTCGCATAGTACATCTAACTCTACATAAAGTCAGTTGAATGTCAAAGCCCATATATGGTTCTGTTCTATGTGTGCAGCTAAACATTTCTTAGGAATGACTGTGTTCATGACTCCCTGTGTGTGTGTGTGTGTATGTGTAAGTGTGTGTGTCAGGGGCCTAGAACACTGCCACATGGTATATTTCAGATGTTCACTCCCAAGATTACTTTAAGTTACATTAAAAAACTTGTATGGCAAGGACTTTTTTTCTTATTTTTTAATCTATTTTTAAATATATTCTGATAGTATGCATATACAGAGTGAAAGTACAAGACAGCTGACAAGAGCCAGAGTGATGGAATTCACTGACTGTTTATGCCAGCAGATAAAAATTTTCAGAAGCTTGAAATTAAAATTTTTTCATATGAGAGATATTGAAGAGATTTGTTTTTGTTGGGAAATCACCCTTTGTTTGCTTCCCAATGAAATAAACCAGGGGTCAATTTTTGGATGGCTCTACCAGTTTTTGAAATCATTGGTTCATTTCCCATGGCTGGGTCATACCAAAGACTGTACCCACTGTCTCTTTGCTAAAGCAGAGAGGTAAAGACCTGCATGGTTATGGCAGTGCTGGTAACATGGATGATAATTCTGCACAGGGCATATTGGCTTGCTTGGATTGAATGCTCCCGAGGGAGTTGAAATCATTGTAATATTTAACAGATCCATAAAGACCAGGCATAAAATTTTAAAGCTGGCTGATCAAGGACACCAGGCTACATGCATGAAGCTAAACCTTTATCTTTACCTACACAAACAGAATTACATGTACTAGTAGGTGTGAACATTTTGATGTAATAGCTAGGCAAGAAATAATAATGTATATTGTATAATCACAGAATTGTGTCTTTATGCACCTTTTGCACATCTCACAAACAATTTACATTAGTTTTTCCTATTATCCAATTCAGTGCTTCTGCATGAGCAGATGCAGTTTATGAAGAGGGTAACAAAACATCACTTCATCTGACCAATGGAAGAAATTTGTGGTGAATTGTAGAATGTAAATGATAATAATTATATGTAAATGATGAACTGCTGGAGTGAACATTAAAACACCTTATGCCTCAGAAATTGCTGTTTCATTATCCATTATCAAGTAAATAGCATACCAAATTTGCTGAATCATTGGTCCAGGATCTAATGTAATATTATGGGATGGTCAGTAGACTCACTAAAAAGTTTTTATTTTGGTGTCATTTATATTCATATATAATTTTCATACAAGTACATCTAGTATATAATATGGTAATATTCTTTGTACAGCATAGCTATTAAGATTGACATATTATTTCATAAACAATTCATAAAACCACATGCCTCCATTTTGCACTAGGGATCTTAAGTTTGAATAAATGTTGGAAAATATACAAGTATGGTGTGCTCTCAATATGGTGTAGTTCTTCCATTGTGTAACAGCATTTTTATATTTGTTGCCATTTAAAATAACTTTTATATTGATGTAAGAGGTAGCTGAGCATTTTAATAAATCTGCTGGTTGCCAGGATATCTGAGCATGGTATCATGACATTCTAAGGTCATACCACTTAGAGAAGGATGATGCAAGACCCAATTTTGTCTTTTCATCATTTCAGAATCATTTTTCATGTTAAAAAATCATGAAAGTTATGTAATATATCGATATCCTTATTTGATACTGTGCATCCTAGAAAAGAGATGGACAAAAATTATATGGTTTATTTGAATCTCTTGAAATGCCTGCATGCCATCTGATTTATCATATCTCATGGCATCCTGTATCCATTATGGAGAGTTTACATTAAAAATTTGTAGTAGATGTTATTAAACATTTAGTAGACCAATATGTGTTATAATGTTATAGTAAAGCATATTTCAGCTGGAATACACATTTAGAGTTATCTGGCAGAGGGTTTATGTTTGCTTTTGTAATATTTCTAGGGTTTTGAATATGGCCGTAGTGGCAATCCAACACGCAATGTTCTTGAGAAGTGCATTGCTTCCCTTGAAAATGCAAAACATTGTAAGTTTTGAGCATGCTGTTTGTGCACAGTTTTGTAGTTGATGTCTGGTTGAATTGATTTGTCATGAATTAAAGGTTTATGTAGAGTTGTAGTGTCATTTGGTATGAAGCCAGTGTTAATTTGCCTCAGATTGTTTCTTTAAAGATTAAAAAAAATTGTTTCAGTTATATATCGTGAGGGCTTCTGTTTTGGTATGGATTTAAATTTTTATTCTGTATTTCAGGTTTATGTTTTGCCTCTGGTTTGGCAGCCACCACAGCTATCACCCACATGCTAAATGCAGGGGATCATATCATTAGCATGGATGACTTGTATGGAGGTATAAAAAATGATATTTTTTTACCATAAACAGAAGAGAAAATCAGTACACATTAAAAAATTTTAAGTGATTACACCAATGAGTATTACTGAATTCATGTTTGAGAAAATCAAGAAAATTCTGTTTAAACACTTTGAAAAGGTACTGCATACTAAATTACTAATTGTAATTCAGGCACTAACCGCTACTTCAATAAGGTAGCCAAACGACTGAACCTAGAGACCTCTTTTGTGGATTGTACGGATTCAGCTAACGTGGCCAAAGCAATGAAACCAAACACAAAGGTCTGTGTTTGTGTACCACTGTGTGATACCTAAAGCATTTTATGTATATATTAAAAGATGTAAAGAGTAAAAAGAGTACTTGACATCTGACATCTTAATAGCTTTGCATGGCAGTAGAGGACTAGTAGGTGCATGACTTGAAAATTAAGTTATTGTATAACACATTCTATGCTATTAGAGTCACAGAGTATAAAATTTATCATGGGTAGCACAGGGTACTTTTATACATTATTTTTGGATAATATCAAAATTGAAAAAAAAAATGGGTAAAACCATAAGATAGTTAAACTTTTTTTATCCCTTTCACTGTGCTATTTTTATATTTGCATGACTGACTAAAATATAGTCAAATAGAACACATGATGTGACAGAAAAAAAATTTTAATATATAAAAAAACACTTGAATATTAATGTTTCTATCAGTTAAAACAGTTAAAACAAGATATACATACCTAAGTGGCTCAACCTTCACAACTAAAATGCACATCATTCAAAGTATAACCTATTGAGTATTCTGGATAAATTCTTTTGCCTAGCACTATAACAAGTATATATCTGGATGGTTTCAGATGATCTGGATAGAAACTCCCACCAACCCCACTCTGAAGCTGGTGGATATCAAAGAAGTGTGTGATATAGCACATAAACAGAAAGATGTTTTTGTGGCTGTAGATAGCACTTTTACGTCATCTTACTTCCAGGCAAGTCCCAAATAATATAAAATTATTTATAAGTAAACAGTAAAGAAAGAGGTGAATTGATAGTTGAATTGAAATTAAAACTGGTTTTGGTTCAATTGAATGGACAGCATTCAGTTTCAAAAACTGAACATTAGTTATTGACCATGATGTACCAGTGTATGAGCACATTTCTTGTCATTTATTAAAAAATTAGTTAAGTGTTAAATTGTGCTTTTGTTTGAAAAATTAACATTCAACACTAATAGCATGGTTTAATGTATTTATCACAGAGACCGCTGGATCTTGGAGCAGACATTGTAATGCATTCTCTGACCAAGTACATGAATGGTGAGGTACATGTTTGCTTCCTCTGGGTAGTTCAAGAGATTATTCATGTTGTGAGAAAAAAGAACCCAAGAACTTAATATTCTTTTTATTACCATTCAGAAAAAGTATTCTTTATAGAAGTGACTTATTCAATGGACTTAACCTGAAGAAAACAGTTCATTACTATTGTAGACAACTATATATATTCTCGTATACCAGTTTTTTAAACGCTGATGCCAGTACATCAGTAAATCAGTAAAACTTTATCCTAAAGGTAGTGAGTGTATTTAATGGATGTCATTCCAACATATATAACAATAGGCTGTATTTGTTTCCTTTGTAGGGCACTCGGATGTGATTATGGGGGCTGCTGCATTGAATAATGATGACTTGCATGAAAGGCTACGCTTTCTACAAAATTGTAAGTATACTAGTTCAGGATTGTTAATAAAGCTGTCAACAATAAGGGTGCACCAAAGTTGACCAGTACACATGTTGTAATAGCGTCTAGCCACAATAAGTGAGAGGCAGTAGTTTCATGACCCGTAGAGACATGGCATGACAAACTTAATTATTTCTCCATCACTGACAGGAGAATTGCCCATTTCCTGCAGGACATTTAAAGAACTGTAAAAAAAGTCATTTTGTCTTAAAAAGTACTGTACTCTTATAGAATGGCCTCTCTGACTATTATATCTATAATTTTAAACTTTAAATTTCTTTTAAATGTGAGACAAATTTTTATGACTACCACTGTTAAAAAAATGCAATTCTAAGGAAGAAATAGTGTTTTTTTAAGTAAATTTGTTAAGGATTTTTACAAATGTTTTTTGAAAAATAGGAACAAATATTATTAAGAAGTCTAGGAAGATACTTTTTTTATACTTTGTTGCACCAAAATCTCACAAAAGATCCCTTTCACTAATGCTTTCAGTTTCTTATAGATCCATTCTTAGAATAGAATTCCTCCAAAAACTGGTCTATTCTATTAGGGAGATGCTTGGTCACTTTGACCACACAAATAACAGGCTGGCTGGAGTGGATGATAGCTTAATATTGAATTATCAAGAAATTCTGCACAAGTCTGATTTATTCTAAACTTTGGTGTTGCGTCCACTTGTAATATTTCACTTGTAATATGCTTTTTATGGTTATTATAGTTTCAATCATAATTCTGTTTCTTCTTCAAAATTAGTTAAAATGTTACAATGAATTTTTCTTCAAAAATTTAACTTGGGATTTATTTTCACTTCTGTATGTCAGTGGCTTTGCCAAATAAAGAATTTCCTTTGGTCATTTCTTGTCTCTTTTTTCATTTGGAAAAATAAATGAATAAGAAATGGAGGAGAGATTTGAGTTCTTTAAAGAAAGTTGCTCCATTATAATTCTTATCTTTTCATGCTCTTTTGATTGTTAGCCATTGGTTGTGTGCCTTCTCCATTTGACTGTTACTTGGTCAACCGTGGTTTGAAAACGCTTCACCTCAGGATGAGAGAGCACATGAAGAATGGACTGGCAGTGGCCAAATTCCTTGAACAGTCACCAAGAGTGGACAAAGTTGTCCATCCAGGTTGGTACATGTAGCAGGGGGATTATATTAACACAGGCTATGAAAGTTTTTTTATATCATGAAATAAATTTATTGAAATTTTCATTCAGCGTTAGAATAGTTGATAAATTTTGGGCTCTTTGCTAAGTTGGATTTAGATTTATGGAGAGTTGGCAATTTCAACATTTTTTAATTGATTAATACATTTAAAACTATAAAAAGTAACAATTGTACTGGTGAAATATTTCAGTTTGTTAGGAGCCCTTGATTTGAACCATTTATTTTGTCATTTAAAAAAAACTTTTATCTCTATATTTTTGTCAGGCCTGCCCTCCCATCCCCAGCATGAGCTTGCCAAGAGGCAGATGAAAGGATTCAGTGGAATGGTCACTTTCTTCATCAAAGGGGGAATCAAAGAATCCGAGACATTTCTCAAATCTTTGAAGGTGAAAAAAAAGGGCTCAATAAAAGTCTATATGTATCCAATCTGTAAACTTTTTAGTATTCGAAGAGACCAAATACTCACTACAATTTCAGAAAATATTTTCAGAAAGAGAATTAGAATACTGTAAGATCAAAATTTACTTTTTCAGCTGTTTACTCTGGCAGAAAGTCTTGGAGGGTTTGAAAGTTTAGCTGAGCATCCGTAAGTTAATTGTTTGAAATTCTAATTACATAAAGATTATTTATAATGTTGTAAAGCAAATTTAGTGACAGTTGACAGTTGAGCAAGCAACACTTTTTTGTACAAGTAAACATGACATGTTATCAATTTTTTTGTTTTGAATTTATTTTTTTTAACATAATCATATCTTTTTTTGGCCTTTTTCATTTTTGCCTTACACTTTAAATAAGTTAGCAGGTGCTTTTTGAATGATAGAATAAAAAAATGTACTTTGGTCACTGGCTAGGGGTATCATGACGCATGCATCTGTACCTGAAGACCACAGAGTACTGCTTGGAATTAATGATTCCTTGATACGCCTCTCAGTTGGAATTGAAGATCTGGAAGATATCTTAGCAGATCTGGATCAAGCTCTCAAGGCAGCTGTGAGTTTAAAATAATAATGATATATAATGACATATAATAATAAATACATAAACATTTGTTAACTGAGAAAAATTAATCATTAAAATTATGAATGTCAGGGATTGTATTCTTTTACCTTTTGACAGATTAACTCCTCTGTGTTTGAATAAGGGTTAGGAAAGTTGTTGGATTTTGTGTAAAACGAGCAAAAATGGGGAAAATTCACTTGATTGAGAAGATAGTCTTCCTTTTTTGAAGTAATTTTCTTGTATCAGGTTGTTGCTTAATATCTGTAAAACATATTATGAAAACAAGCTGATTGTAATATTTGAGTTATAAGTTAAATTAGTGAGATCAATAAGAAATTTAGACCTACTGTCAATACTTTTCAGTTTGTATCTCGCTATTATAGTTATGTACAGACACAGATGTGTCTGTACATATTGCCATCACCTGCGTCTGTCGTCGCCGATGCCGATGCCGATGCCGATGCCGGCGCCGGCACCGTGCACTTTCCTTGTAAACACGATAAGTGGAGGGCAGTTTTACTTTTTGGCTTAATATTTACAGAGCTGATGAATATTCATAAAACGCAGGTCAAGTTCGANAAAACAAATTATGAAAACAAGCTGATTGTAATATTTGAGTTATAAGTTAAATTAGTGAGATCAATAAGAAATTTAGACCTACTGTCAATACTTTTCAGTTTGTATCTCGCTATTATAGTTTTTGTTTAATTATTATTAGATTCTTTTATTTTTTTAAATAAATGCTATTGTTTTCTCTTTTAGATACCATAAGATTTTGATTGGGGATTTGCCAGGAAGGAAAGGAGTACGCAGCACAACATGGCACATACCAAAATCTGTCTCCCAAAGAAAGTTTCCAATGAGAGGAGAATTTAAAGTGATAACATGCACATCTTAGGATATTTCAATATTTGTTTTTAAGCCACCCCACAGTATTTTGCTCTCCTTTATATTTTGCTTTCACAACTTTTTGTTCATAATTTTTTCCAGTTCAGATACATAAATCTTGGTATAGACTTATTTGAAATTATACTTTTATGCCATTCCATGTTATTTGCATCACCTATATATTTTTCCTATACAGAAATTTTTGCCATAACATTCCTTCCAATTCAGTTTTAAAGAATACACATGAGGTTTGATTTCTTTCTGTCAATTTGATTTAATGGGACATAATGAAAATACTTCACATACTGAAAAAGGGAAAAAATAGGGAATGGTAATGTCTAGATAAGATTTTTTGCTCAGGGTAAAATTTAGGAACAATAGAGAATTGGCCATTTGAGTTAATACACATTTCTCTTTCTCCATCTGTCACTTTGCTTATTGGTAGCATTTACTGCATAATAGTTTTTAATTATTGCATTTGAAGGGGATATTTTTGTGTACATTTAGCTATGTATCCATTGTATTTGCTATATTTTTTTATGCAGAAATCATATAAGGGGGTGGGGGTTAATTCTAGTTTGAATGTCCTGCAGTCTATTGGGTTGTTTGTATTATTTTATGGCACCAAATCATATCCCGTTTTACATGTATAAAAAAGGCAGACTAGATGTTATTGCACTTTTTGCATATTATTGACACAAACTGGTATACATTGTTCTGTATTTAAGACTTTCACATAACGGAAGTACACAGTTCAAAGTGCCAATAAATTTTTTTGTAGTCTTCACTCCAATGATAACTTGCTACAGCTGGACATTGAGTATTTTACTGCCAAAGGTGGTGTATGTCTCCACATAAGATTATTGAACCACAAAATGAATTAAGTACTTTGAATAAAAAAAAAATAAATGTAGTGTTACAGATCACAAGGATTAATATTTTTTGGTCCAAAAGGAATACAGTGCAATGCAAGGGGTTGTTGTTGGCTTTTAATTTGGGAATTATTTCTTGGAACAAGGATCCTGTGCTCCCTTTACCATTTCTAAATAAATGAAGATGTTCTGCATCAGCACATGCCTTTCCTTTTCAGGAAGTTTCTGACTTTCTTAAAGATTTGGTCACAAGAGGCAGTAAAATGTTTTATCAGCAGAATTTGCCTAGTTTTCTCTTCATGACAGGGAAAAGTCAGCTTCATTAAAAAATCCAAAACATTCAAATTTCTTTTATTAAATTTGTAGATAAAAAACCCAAATGTTTAAGTCTTGAAAAAATCAATAGAAAATAAACAATGTCTGGAAGCTTCAAAAACATGTTTATTTTAATCATGCATTTATTACCAAATCCATCTTGCACAGCTCAACTTCAACACTGCCAACACTTTGGAATAAACCTAATCGCAATAGTAACATCCGCCAACCAGATTCAGCTGATTAAGCAGAATTGAATTGTGGCCATAAGCTTCTGTGTAAATCGCAGGAGCAAAAACACCTGGACACCCCCTCCCACACCCAAACATCCATTCTTAGATCTAGGCAAATGCCTAATCCTTAATTCATTTCTCCCACCAACAACTATATTCCCAACAACAGTGGTGCAGATGACTAGAAAAAGACAGCAGACCCTACACATCCATAATGATAAAGATGGGTCATTCTGTCATTTTATAAATGGTGATATTGAATAGAAAAGCCCCCATCCATCTTGTTGGGTAATGACACTACATTGTTTGGCTATCCACATGTAATAATAGGACATACCATTACCTGTGCTTCAATCAATACTGATGGTCTGTGCAGTTTTGACTTAACATATATTTACAAAAAAAAAAAAAAAAAAAAAAAAAAGTCCCCTATTTTACACTTATGTACAATTACCATTTACATTACTCAGTATAATAAATAAGTGAATAAACCACTAATAAACATTACATTGTTCATTCTTGTCAAAATAATAATAATAATAAAATAAATAAATAAATGGAAAACTGGGTTGCTGGCCCATGATTAATTCAGTTGTTCTGTTCACAACTACATCCTCAGAATATTACTAGACTTTTTTTGTGCCGGCATTCCCTTATAAAGGCAAAATACGTCTCTCCCCACAGTTTTGCAGTTGTAAGATCAACACATGGATGGAATAAGAATAACACAAGGTTGGAATGGTGCCACACCTACACAAGAAGTTATACTGAAAATGCCTTGGCTTTGTGTGCAACCAAGGAGGCAACTTTGAGCACAGTTAGTTTATAACAATTATCACACAATGCTTTCAGTGTCCTCCAAGTTCAAGTGGGCCACAGATCACTCCCCTTATCCTTGGCTGGTAAAACCCAGCTATTAGATAAACACCTGTGTACTATTTGGCAGCACGTGAGAAATCTGACGATGAATATTAAATCTACTTTGGCCATTTTGAGCACAGTTCTCTTGTCTGGGACATGAGTTGTATCTTAAAATTGTTCACTACAACAATGCCCTACTGATTCAATGTGACCTGACTAAGTGCAAAGCTTCTAATAGCTTTTACTAAATCCACCCAGTCTAAGCAAGACTAGGAGCAGTATACCAGACTCAGTATTACAAAATAACACAGCAGTCAATCTCAAGATTAATTTCTTGGCATATTATATGAATTTGTATATAAAAAAATTATATCATGATAAGTCACTTGCATTCAACACGGCACATACATTACACTGGAAAAACAAGGGAAGCTTCTATTATGCTGTAATCTAAGATGGTTGGATGAGCAGATTGTAGGTTTTCCATTCAAAAAGTCCCCTCATGCAGGTTTTGTGGTAACCGGACAACGTGGCCATCCACATATTCACTTGTTTGGGGGCCTTCTTCCCTTCATGTTTTTGCTCAAATTTTCCTCTTCTTGGAGCTCTAAGCGGAAATTTACTACTTTGTCTGGAAAAAGGGCAAAGTAGTAAGTTAAGGCATGCATTTCACGCTTCATGAATTTAAAGGTAAGTAGTTGAAAGGTTATTTCAACAGCATTATTCTAAGTGCCCATGTTTGGTTAACAGTAAACTGGGTCACTTCATGTTTCAAAGATACCTGATGAAATGAAAACTCTCTTGAAGCAAAAAAATTACTGTGTAGAAACCTCAAACTGTCTGTGGATGTCTTACCCCTCAATCTTGACAATGCATCAATCCTCTTGGCAAGTAAACTGTCCAAGTTCCTTGCATAACCTAAAAAATGTAACAAGATATTTTTACAGCAAATCATGTTTTTTCACACTTCAGCTCCAGAGAGTTTTAACAAGAATAGTCATATAAAGAGCATATGCACTGTTTGTCCGTTTATGGTGTTCTCCCTCACTTGCCAATGAAAGCATCTAAAAAGTAAGCTAAAAAAGAACTCTTCATAAATGGATCAGTCTGTTAAACCATTTGGCATGTGTTTACTCTGTACCATGTGTGAGCTGCTTCTAATCACAAGAACAGTAAAGAACGGGGGTGAAAACGACCTGTTTTACTTACAAAATGCAACAAACTTCTTCTTTTCCTTATAACCTTTAATAATACCAATAGCTTAACACTCACCTTCAACATCATAATCTACGTCATCTGTCATCTTCAGCAGTTTCTTGTCTTCATTCAACCATTTACCCAAACCCTGAAATTAAAGATACATTATATCATCATGACTTAAATGGTCGTGTGTATCTTACTGCTATTGCACAACATTTCTTTCTCCTGTTGAATGACACAAACATCTCTCTCTAGTTATAAGATGGTTCACACAACAAAGCAATACCTTAATGAATATACACATCCAAAACTTTGGAGTACATATGTGCTACTTTAATTAAATATTAGCTTCATGAAGAAAATCACAGTAAACAAAACCTCCAAGCGTGGCACTCACTTCACATAGAGCTTTGTGATCATCTATCACCTCCTCTTCTATCTCTTGCATGTGGTTGATCACTTCATGGAACGTCAGCAGCTCATCTGATATCTCAGCTTCCTGGGAAATGGAAAAGAAAAAAGTTTTACTGAGCTCAGGCGAAAGATAAGTTTATTCCATATGCTGCAATAATAATCTAGCCATAATCTCTATTTACTATTACTACTGTTCTGCTATTTCTTTGAAGAAAAACCTTTAACTCCTGATATATAGAATGCAGTACATTGCATATCAGGTCTGTAAAAATGGTTTAGTGAAAATATGAGAAAGGCAGCACTCAGCTTACACCAAAGAAAAAATGTTCCACAAAATTTAATTGGGATAATGATAATTAGAGTAAGAAGGTGAAAAGCTATGCTAAATCAGCTATAATTCATATTCTGTAATTTTTATTTATTTATTTATTTATTTATTTATTTATTTATTTATTTATTTATTTATTTATTTGTGCTCACATTTCCAGTTCTTAGCAGCACTAGATCACTGTTCTGGGGTGACAGTGGGGTATTGTTCTGTGCTTCAGGGGGTGGAATGTTCTCATCAGCCGGCCTCCCCTCCACAGGGCCCCCTGGTCCCAGCTCCTTCACTCTGTCTGCATACCTCAGGGTGTTCAGGGAGTGTTCACAGCAAGACATGGCAGGGGAAATCATGGCAATCTGGGGGGGAGGAGAGAATTCATTCAGTTTAATTTAATTCCTTTCATCTCTCATTCAAATCACCTTTGTCAGGATGCTGAGGGAAGATAATTAATTAAGGATAAATTCATTTCATTGATTTTTTTTTCCAAATTGCCTTTATCTTTATACATAAAAAAAGACTATGTTGGTTAAACAAGATGTCATTAAAATTTTCTTTCATCTCTATAGTAGCAAAGTGTATAACCACTTATCCTAACAAGCTCTTACCATGCATGTTCTTGACTTCCCTCCAATAAAGGAATCCCTGAGAACCTGAGTAAGTTTACTGGCTCTAAATGGCAAGTGGGCCCCCTTGCGCCCCAGGGCCCGGATACATTCCTTCAAGGCTAGCAAGCTTTTGTTGATTTCTGCTCCTTCCATGCGAGTTTGTCTGTCTGAACTCATGGTATCGGCTCCTCGCTCATTACCTAAATTAAGGTGGTTATTGAAAATACTGTCATGTGCAGCAATGATTTTTCACGTTTCCAAATTTCTTGGATAGTAGTCAGTGGGCACCATTTTCACAGCACCAAATGCCAGTAGAATGTAAATGTGTTCAGTAACTGGTTACTCTGCTTTCTTAGACCCCAGTGGCTTGTTGGGACCAGTAAGCTAATAAGTATTTGATACAGACTGTGGTGAAATCCTAAAATTAGGACCATCTTGCCTAAAGGAGGTTAACTGCTCATAAATTGGCTGCTTATCAACTCTTAGTTTTTAAATGGTTACATTTACTTCACAGATTGTTCATTGAAAATACATGCTTTCTGCAATCTATTTATCAACTCTAACTTTCCTTTCAATAAATAAATAACATACCTGCTAAATCAATCAAGGAAAATTTCCCATGAAGCTTTTTGGTTCCTCTAAAATTAAAAGAGTTGTGGATTGAAAAAAAAAATAAACATAAATAATTACATACTTCCAGTAAAATTGGGTTCTTTGCCAAAGTAAACATAAATTATTAACACAATGTTTTCAGCTACTTTCAATTATTTTTTACTTGGAAAAACAACTTATTATATCACATCTTTAACCTAAAGAAACATCCCCCTCCCCAATAAGATATCAATTACAGACCACTTACTTTTTCCTCAAAACTATCTGAAATACTGCATGTGACCTGGAGGAATGGTTGTTGGCAGACGTCTGCCCAGATGTTCTGAAATATTATGGATCACAAAATTAAATTTTACATAACAAAAAAAAAAAAAAAAATAGATTTCATATAAGTAATGTCATTTTTAATAAAAAATATTCTGAAAAAATATGTAAGTTTTGACCTACAAGTATTTTGTACAAAATATAAAGAAAGATAACAAAATTATGCCCCGTCTTCTGTAAAGAGGAAGATACCAAGAATCCTTTCCCTACCTGACTACATTTCCTGACTGTATAAGTTTCAAGACTTCATCCACAGAATGAACTAACTCTTCCTTGAGTCCTACCACCTGCACCTGCTGCTTGCCATCTTCCAACACACGTAGCTTCTGTTTTTTATTGAGCAAGTCAAACACCTGAAAAAAACATTTGGTACATGTAATGTTAAGTACAGATGTGTATACACTTCAAAAGGAATGCCAACACGTGCATGAGTAGATTTTAGCAAAGAAATTTTAACAGAAGTAATTCATGTGCATAGATGTTTTAATGGAAACAAATAAGAAAATGCAACAGGTGTAACTATAAACAGATTTGTTTCTCACCTTGCCACTATAAATTTCAAAGAAACTGCAAGACACCAGTAGGTCCAGCTTCTTGTACTTTCCATGATGGAGTTTGAAAACATCACGAGCTGTAAAGAAAAATTGCAATACAAAACAATCTGTCAGGGTCTGTCTATATTAGCTATATTTACTATTTAAATGGAACAAAATATCGCACAGATTCGGGCTGATGCTATGGATGTTTTAACACAACTGTTACCAAATGTATTCTATTTATGTGATAAGGAAAGATTAACATTATTTAACATATGGCACCAACTTATGAAAATGCATTGGAGTCCACCTCACCTGAAAATGCATATATTCCTTTGGTACAGTCCTGCTGTTTACCAGAAAAATCTCCTCCCATTGTCTAAAATATAAAGAGCAATATTATATATAAAGCCAATATATAAACTATATGACAATGTACACAACAATTGTAGACAATCTCTGCCATAATAACCTTTGTACAAATATGTGATTGAATGTCACACAAGAAATTATTTAAAAACTTACATGAGTTTTCCCACTGCCAGTTTGGCCGTATGCAAAGCAAGTGGCCATACCCTGTTCAAATATGCACTCCACTAATGGCTTAGCTGTATACCTGCAATAATAATGAAAAGTATAGCATTTGATCAGTCACCTTACATCTAAATTATTGAAGCATACCTTGAAAAGTATGGCAAGTACTAAGTGTTTCAAACACAATCACCAACATTTTTCTCAAGTGATCTATGAAACTCAGTTACTCAAAAAATACACTGTATGACGTGAATGTAATTCATGTTCTTCTGAACTAACTTTTTATAACCTTACATTTTCACAAACACATTAGGTGAGTACCAAGTTCTGAAATGTAACTGACCTGTATACCATTTCATTGTCTGCATTCTCATCAAAGACATAGTCAAAACGAAAGTTCTGGTTCTCAAGGAATTTTGTGAGATCTACTTTGAGTTTGGGCTCATGAACTATAACATTTTGCTTGTTGGGAGCTGTGACCACATCAACCTCTTTCTTATTCAGCTCTGAAATAAAAATAACGTTCCATATAAAGTCTTGTCAAAAACATTATAAACTTCTTATCACAGGGAAATAGGCTTACCTCTACCAATGATGGAAGTTATGTTTTCATCGGTATTGGTTTGTTTGTGAACAAGATATCTCAAAAGTTCTTTCCTGTTACAAATTGAATTTTGATGAAACTTAAAACTGGGGCAGTTATTCAGGGGGAAAGAGGTGATTACAATTCCAACTAAATCCAGTTCTAATTTTTAAAAGAATAATTTCATCTTATTATTATTATTTACATTTTGCTTTGCAGAGGTCTGGACTCTCAGAGTGCTTTACAGTAGTTTCTGTTCAAGACAGAGAAACAACTTGCCTTCAACATACATTTACACAAAGGAAAAATTCCAACTACCTTTTTTATTAATAGGCCTCTTTCTCACACACACACAAATCTGATGGTCCTCAATAGGATCTGAATCAGTGAGTGGTCTGTAATCTAGGGTTGCTTGATATTCTCTGAAGATAACAATCATAGCATTGTATACATCACTCAAAGAACAAGGAGTATATTAAAAAAAATACTTGAATAAAAGCTTTAAATTCGGTGTAAAAAGGAGTACAAATTAAATGCAATGGATATGATGAATTATGTAATACATTTAAAATNTCAAAATAAAATCTGAAAATAATAAATTTCTTTTGTATATTTATTTTACTTCCAGGTTGTGACTACACACCTAATCATCATAAGGAACTCCCAATTTGGATGTGACGTATCAATGTCCTGTTCTATTTGTTCTTTAATTGCTACGGCTTGAGCCCTGCGTGCCTTCCTTCTCTCCTCGATCTTCTCAACTTCTTTGACACAATTGGATTTTCTACGGGACGCTAGACAAAAGAGAAAAAAATTATTAATCAAGCTTTTTAATTATTTACCACCCTAGTACTCTATTGTGAATTTCTCTGTGGAACATTCCTTGACTTAAGTTTTAATACACTTTGCCACATGGAAAAAGAACACATACAAGCACTATACAGGCAAGGATCACAATTCATTTGACAATTTTCGTAAACAAAGTGCACATTCCCAAAAAGCAGCAATTATTCTCGTTACCTGCTGCAGCGGCGGCCGTTTGCTGAGCAGTGGGCTGCTTCTTGGCAGGAGGCTGTTCTGCAGGGGGAGGAGGGGCCACTTTGTTCAACTGGCTGTTCTGAGAATTCTGGGAAGGTGCGCGTGCATAACTGGGACGTGACATCTTTGACGAGGGAACTGAAATTGAAAAAAAAAAATAAAAATAAAATAAGTAATTTAAAATGAGTTTAAATAATGAGACAAAAAGAAAGATGTGGAAGCAAGTTTTTGATCAACACATAGGTTGTCTACATGACTGCAAAGTCATAGCCTGTATCTTCATCATGCTATAATCCAATCTGTGATCCCATTTCAAAATTTAAAATTACTTTTCAGGAAAATAATATCACTTATAAAAGCATTCATTCACTGTTGAACTTGTTCTTTTGGCTTTAATTTACACAAGTCCCTAGTAAAAGTGAAAAGTCCAATATTTTAATATGGTGGGTCATATTAAATCTCCCACCCTTCTTGTTCTTACGTCTACTACTGTTGTTCCTAGGGGTCTCTTTTGGTACTGATTCTGAGGCTACCCTGTTACTCTGAAAATAATAATAATAATAATAATAATAATAATAATAATAATAATAATAATAATAATAATATTATTGTTGCCAAGACATCATTGTCATGCATGCTACCCAATTTAAAGATTACAAGAAAACTTCTTGTGAAAGATTTATTGCCACAAAAATTACTAGTAATTAATAAATTAATGAGAGCTGTGCAGATGATAATTTACTTCTGATGAAGCACAACAAGAAGGTAGTTCAGAGATTGCTTTCTCCATCTTACTGAGACCCTTATAGTAAAATTTGTCAAAAGTGAAAAAAAAAATAAAAAAAGAAGCAACATATGCATACACCTATTTGGTAAATGGTGATATTTCACGTAAAGTATAGCATCCCAACAAAAATGAAAATGAACCTTGTTTGGCACAAAATTTGTGAAAACTAAATGTTCACTGATAAACCTTCCTTACTAAAAATCTGCTCAGGGAAAAATGGCTAGCCCCAATAATGACACTAAAAATATTGGTCTGCATTGTATTATGAGAGTAACCCAATCCCACAAAATCATGCAAAATCAATAAAATGTCCTGCTTATACCAGATTAAAGCAACTAAATACTTTAACATTACTAAAAATGAAATTTGACAATTGTGATACCAATGCACGGTTCATGCAATTTTCTGTGCACCTGAACAATACCAAACACTTGAAAATCACTACATGTAAAATCACAATATTTATAATTCTGAATAGTGAACTTCCACTTATAAGCAAATAATAGTAAGCAGGTGTCCATGCTAGAGCAATGAACCAAACATATTATATGAAACAAATCCATTAAAGAAACAACTATAAAATGTTTGTTTTGATTTGCTTTGTAACCAATAATACAATCACAAATGTTGTAAACCATTTTTGTGATTTTCCCCCATATTGAAACTTTCTGCAGGGTAGACAGTAAGCAAGTTGCAGTGATCACCACTTTAACTTGAGTGACACAACACTGCTGAATGCAATATAAAAAACCACCAAGTTGCACAGCATACATTTTTTTACCTAAGCTCAAATCAAGAAAGATTTCAAAGATTCTAAAAACACAATGACATAATGGGACATATGGTCATGCTTTGACAAAAGCTAACTATTGGGTTTCCATTTGAAAATCATTGAACATGATGCAATGCACATACATGCTAAATGTATTACATGTCTGCAAATAAAATCCATATCTATAATACAAAACCAAAGAGGGCAACTCACAGTAGCACATTATATCTAACATTTTTATGCAAAATATAAAAATGTTTCATCTAAAATCTTTGAAAAAGCTACTACTACATTGACTGGATTCCAACTACCTTTCTGACCTGTCTGGCACCAACTCTGGCTGGTCTACTGACCACTGGCCTTTTGGTGTCAATCTTGGCTGGACGCTGCTTCTGCTTAGGCAGCGGTGGCCCCACAGGCTGCTCTTCACTGTACTGAGTGAAGCTGTCACTTCCACTCTCAATGTTGTCCAAGTCCTCACTGATATCTAAATCTAACTCAAACTGGCTCTCAGAACCAAACTCCTCATTTTCTGCATCTTTCACATTGATTACATCATCACTGTCTAAATTCTCAAAGTCAATTAGACCCTCACTCTCTTCTTCTTCCTCTTCTTCTTCCTCCTCCTCTTCCTTGTTTTGCACCTCACCCTCATCATTGTCCTCTGCCTCGTCCTGATCCTCCCCAGTGATGCCCTCATTTGACTCTTCATCATTTTCCTTGGTTAGCATAATATGTTAAATAAGAACAAATTACACAAAGACTAAAGCCTTATCGAGCACAAACAAGATATTGTGGTTAATCTATCAAAGAGCCCAACTGCTAAACAACTCAATAAATGTGTTAGTTGAGCAACAGCACATTTTGTGGGGAAAAAAATCCCAAGGGCAGCTGATATGAGATTTTGGTCAATAATTAAATGAATCTGACTGTGTCACAATTCAAACAACATCAAACATGTCTGTATCTCATCTTCACGTTTTCTCCAACCCATCCAAACCCAAAACACATTTGGTAACTGTATTTTGAAACTATTTTTCCAAAGGTTTTCCAGGTGTTCCCTGGCATTTGCCATGCAAGCAGTTGAAATAGTATTGGCTTTATTGCACAGATGTCTATTAGACCTCAACAACTGTCCTGTATGACTCATGCTAGGATATGAGATCATCAGGATACTAAATCTACAACAACTTAATGGTTCAATATGCTGGTGTGACAGAGCCATATCCATTTCTTTATCATTAAATACAATCTAATGTGTTAAACAGGCTGCCTGTCCATTCACAGTCAGATGTTTTATATTATCATTAATTTCCCTACCCAAAAAGAGTGCCCTACAACTTGGGCTACATTTTAAATGTGTGCCAGTTTCATAATTCTCACATCTCCACATGAGCAAGGTGAATAGCCAATGCACATAGAAAAAGAGATCACAAAGCTCATTGGGTCTGCTACTCAGGCTAAGTATATGAAAATCACAAAGGCAACCAAAGATTTTTTTCCACTCACTGTTACCAAGTCCACCCCAGTGTCTGATACTGAAACTACAACTGGTACTGGGCGTTCTGTCCCTCTTCCTTTTCCTAAGCAGTTTCCCATTGTAGTGCATGACCAAAACACCCGACTAAATACCAGCCACTGCCAAATTTCTACAGTTAAACATACCCTTTTTGTTATTACGGTCAACAATTATCACTGGGAACTACATGATGAGCATAATCATATTGCATCTTTAGGCCATTTCTTTTTTTTTTCTTACTGACAAATGTCTTTGACTTAACAACTGCCTCATGGGCATAACAATAGTGTGGAACTTAATGATGGCTGAAGAAAAAAAACCTCACATATTATAACACTGTTTAAACAGCAAGGCCCCTTGGGCACAAGCACTTAAGAAAACGTAAACAATGTAACAGTTCAATATAGCTGGTCCAGCCTTCCTTCCATGTCTGCTAACTACCGCTTTCATATTCATCTCACAACCCTCGATTCCCAGGTTGCTACCTTATTGGGTAATAACCTGACGTACACCATTAATAATTACCAAAAAAAATCTCTTGGCAGATCTACATATATCTGAAGGGAGGCAATTTATGAATCATTTACCTAATACACAAATCTATAACTCCCCCTGCAATGCCATAACAATGACAGACACGATCATCGCTGAATATTTTACAGTGTGCTCTAAGATTTACAGTGGCAAACACAGAATTCATTACACAGAGGGTATAAGTAAGAAATGCCAAGAATCAATGATTTTGTGACTGATACAAACTGAGCAATCTCCTTGCTCATTTTACCACATAATTACTGTAAGAGACTAACCATGTTATATGACCAGCAAAAAGTTGGAGTAAGTTTTAACATTTAACTATAAACTACCTGCAATGTACTATGGCTTGTGCATAAAATATTCATGAACCACAAGCCTCCTCATCCCACTTAAGACACCAATGGCTTCTTACTTTATGGTGTCATAATAAGAAGAGAATCTGACATTCAGGTCACCATGTCAGTATTTGACCCAAAATTATGAAAATTGAAAAAATCAGATCCTATTACAAAATGCATCATACTACTGCCTATGTTGTTCAAAATAGTCACCAACACCAAAGTAAACTGCCTGGTTACTGTGTGCTTTTAAAATGCAATTGTTAAGGTGTAACTGGACAGAGATATCATTTCCCTTTTGCTAAGCCTCCCACAAATATATCCACATGAGGTACCTACCCTAGCTGACCTGACCTCCCGAACTGGAGGAGCTTGGACCTCCTCATCTTCCTCTTGTAGCTCTGGATTCAAGGCCCATACAGCTTCCAACTCAATCTGAAAGTGTACATCAGCTTAGGTCTTTTAGCATCAATACTAGCAAAATGTTTACTGGTTGTCATGACAACTTAAAGTAACTGCAATAGGACACACTCTCTAAAATTAGCAAATACAATATTGATGATGACAAAATATATCTATTATGAAGCACTGCAGTCTTGCGCAATCTCTGGGACTTGACGTAGATCATAACCCATTAGTCTACTTGTCCCATTTCTATCATGTATTTCTCATTACTATGAAAATAAAGGCTTTTCATTTTCTACAAATAAATAAATAAAAGAAAATGAAGAACTCGAAAGTTGGGCTCAAAAGATCTCAAAAGTTGGGTAGAAACTTAGACAAGACCACTAAAAAAAACACAAAAACATTTGTTAAAAAAAAGGCTTCTATAATGTCTGGCAAAAATGACTGTACAGCAGAAAAAAAAATACATCTTTTTTTTTATGATTAAAGAAATGTCCACAAACCTCTTTTCCTTTAGTTTCTCCTTTTTCATACCACTCTACAGTGACACTCTGCGTTTCCACACTGACCCCACTAACTACTGCAGAGTGGATGCGGCCTTAACAAAATAATAACATTTAATTATATAGCAATCCAAAGGTAGGACTTTGTGACATTAGAAATTTGCTTTTATCAGCTTATAAATAGAAGATATACCTAGCATGCCTTCTGTTTAGAGTTACATATTATAGGAGCATAGATTCCCCTTCTACTAGTTTCTTATATAAGATCAAAATAAACTTGACAGTCTTGACATATAAAAGCATTAACTAAAACACAATTAATCACTTGTTCAGCCATAATAAAGCTTTAAAAGTATAGCTTCTTCATATTTCTGGTCGTAAATTGATATACATATCCCCCACCCATCCCACACAAAAAGGAGATATTTTCTTTTGAAATGTATAGAAAGATATGGTACTCTAATAGTAAGTGACAGACCAGTCATTTAAAACTATGTAATTATTTTATAAGAAAATAGGAAAAAATGTATCCCAGGGCAGAGAAGGGTCAAGCAATGGTTTGAGAGTAGGTTAAAACTGCTTTATTCTTTTCAGGGAAAATTCTACTTGGTAGCACCATAGAAAAATTCTGAGTGTGTGAATAATAAAAAAAAAAGCTACCTTCTGGCCTCGTTGCTTTGTGAATAAATTTTCCATTCATTACAACTCCCAACAATAGTGGCAAATCTGCCTTCCAAACATTCAATGACAAAAAAGTAATGTGAATGCATATCTTCAAGGCTTGCATATAGACAAAAAATAATATGCTGAATGGAAATATACATTGTAATTCCATTGTACACACAACCCTGCACTTGTCATGGCAATGCTTATGCCAGTTACATGGCAAGGGCTAAACTGACAGATACAACACCCCAACCATACTTTGTATAATGACAAAGTGTGCTTCCTGGCTGTTAAAAACCCACTGATTTTGATGCTAGGTCACCAATTAACGACTTCAACTTGAATCTTACTGCACTGGATGCAGCTGGATTTAGCCTTGGGTCTCTGCACACTGCAGCCATCATTAACTTGATCTGATAAGGATTGGGAATATTGCACCGCTTTTAGTTTCACTACTCATAAAAAGTTCAAGTTCCCCTCACACTCGAGAACGAGTGATTAGTGAATTGTGACTTAAACTCTTTTATTTGGCTAGCGGAGCATGTTGGACAGAGTTGTCTGTTGAAACAAGGGTGTGCATTTGTCATCGGACCAAAAGCAATAAATGAAATCTCACCGTCTGTCCGTTGAATGTCAACGTTGACGCCAACTTTGAGCTTGCCTATCTCCATTTCTGGCATGAGAATGGTATCATAAGTTTACTCCAGCTACAAAACTAGTTATAATTTGTCTGAAAATTCGCCGATTATTTGAGTCCGTTAAAATTTATTAACGCATGCGCACCTTGTCCTATGCGACATACAAACATAGAAAATTGAGCTTTAATGCTAGATGGAAATCAATGATCTTATCTCAAACATACTTTTTAATTCATTCTTAAACAAAGAATCAGTTATATTTTCAAAATAATAGTTATCTGAAATTTAAATTAACATAACTATTTATTGTTTTTAATCTGTTTTTGTTCCGATAGACTTACCACCTGCTTCTTGGTAATAGATGTGATGATTCTTAGCTGGTTCCATAAATTGAAGACCCCAAAACAGAAAAATAAACTATGTGTTGGTACATAAATTATCTAAATAATAATCTACTGTTACTTATAATAAATACTTAACAACCTTTTACAATGTTTAATTTAAAATATGTATGTCTAAATTATTATTTTACTGATTTATGGAGGAATGTTTTACTGGGTTTTCAACACAAATTGATATGCTTCCCTGCACGCAGAGACTGGTGTGTTTACATTCACAGTGATACATGCGGCTTGTACAACAATGACTACGGTTGCTTCCAAAGTTCCATTTTCCGAACTTGCAGGACTACTCGAGAAAATAAGCAAAAAGCAAGGAGCGGACAAAAAACTTCTGCTGCAAGAATTCATTAACCGCTGGCGTGATTTCCATGGAAAGTTGCATGCAGACGATGCTAATACGGTAGGAAGTCGACGAGAGTCGACGTAATTCATCTTTGAAGTTTTTCTTTCTCCTTAAAATTTCCTCTTTACACACATGAAAATGAAAAAGAGTTGCATTCCCATTCGATAATTAAATTTATTTAAATCAATACAATGATAATCATAGGGTGCTGAAGAGGAATAGGGGGTGGGGCGGAGCAGAAAAGCCTGATAAATTACCGGTTTTTCTAGTTTCATAATTCATGTCAACTTAAACAGTTCCATCAATTTATCGTTTTGACATCGATGGAGATTGATAACTGATTGCAATTTATTTTATCTTATTTTTACAGACAGACAGTTTCTATTCAGCATTAAGACTTCTGCTACCCCATTTGGAGCGAGAAAGAGCTGCATATGGCATTAAGGAGGTAATTAATACATTTTATCGATTATTAAGAATTACATTTTATTGAGAATTTAAATTGATTAAAATTTTGCAACAAGATATTTTTGACTGTACATTTCTGGAAAGCACAAAAGTGCCATTGTTTGTCAAATTTTGATTTTCTCATTTGAACCTGGTTGTTATTTTTCTTCTTAACATTTTAGAACACACTTGCCAAGCTGTATATAGAAGTGCTGTGCCTGGGAAAGGACAGCCCTGCTGCAGACAAGTTGATTAAATACAGAGCTCCCAAGAATGCTAAAGGGGTATATAGGGTTTTTTCAGAGTGAGATTATTGNACAGATATATAAAGATAAATATACTGCATGCTATGTCCACCTTTTTTTCAATACAAGTGTCACATAACAGAGCTGCTTTGGCAAGAGTGGACAGAAAATTCTTTTAAGATGCTATTGTAATATGGAACTGGTGGAGAGGGCTGTTATTTCTGATTTAACTTACAAAAACTGTTGACTGAAGCTGTTTAGGTGTGCCATAAAGTATTAAATCTGATAGAAATGAAACAGTGAAAGCAAATTTTAAACTGTGATACACGAACAAGACTGGTGGTTTGACCATTGTTCATATAAATGTATGTGTTAAATGCAGTCTCCTGATTATTTTTGATACAAAATGGTCAGTAGATTTTAGTAGAAATGTGTATTTTAATTTTATTAATTTTATTTATTTTTATTTTGAGGAAGTGAGCTATTCAACTTAATGAAAAGTAGGAAGTACTTTCCTAGAAGGGAAATAATAGAAATTGCCACTCCTTAATGTTTGAGTATAAAATTACACAAAAGATAATCATTTTTACGCACCAATTCAACAATTGCATGTTTGTTTTGTTTTGTTTAAAAAATAAAAATTTAATTTAGTAAATTTAAAATTAATTTGAATTATTTAAGCCATCGAGAATGGTTTCCAGTTTTTAAGAGGAATATTAGTGCATTTTGCAGGAAAAAAACCTATTCTGATAGCTCCACTTTTACTGATATGCACATACTCAATAAGACTAGTTTTTTTTATAATATCTAAAAGCAACATTTAGATGCCTTTATTTCGCTGGCGATTTCGGCTATCATATTCGGACCAAGGCCAAAAGTGTCTAACTGGACCAACTAGCCCAGGTGTAACAGAAATGGTAGTCCGCTAGGAACCGTAGTCCGCCACCCATTACTTTGTACAGGTGATATTCGTCCTATATACTAACCCCAATACTCCAACTAACCCTAACCTGTACTAATCATATGGGAGCCCGGACCTCCATTCCTCGGACTTCCATTCCTGTTACACCGGTTTCCCCTCACGAGTGAATCATCCATTTGCTGTACGTTTCAGTTTTGTTTAAGCATAGGAACGTGACGCTTTGCCGTCAGCGACGTCATGACCGCATAGAGGATTTGAGCTCATACATTTGTTTTTCTATGTTACGATGGAGAGTGAATCTCGGAGAATTTCAAATACAATGGAAGTATATTTTACAGCACAAGTGCTGCTAGTGACCAGCGCTTTACTTATCATCATTTTACTTAAGGTAAGAAAACTCATTAAGTTGTGTTGCAAAAAAGGGGAAAAGGTGTAAACGTATGGTTCTAAAAATCAGTTTTGTACAATTCAAATAGGCGTATGAATTTTTTACTTGTGTATGAGAAAATGAGCGCAATTTTCATTACTACATTAACACAATGATAGTAATGACAAGGAGTTACAACAGTAATGATAAGTTACAACAAGAAATGAGTGGTAATAACTCTTTCAATCCCGTAAAAATGACAAAGTTTATTATTTCTATTACATTCTAGAATAATCTAATTTTGTTTAATCCTAACAGTATTTCCGTGAAGGCACATGTAGTCTGCTCTGGAGAAATTCAGACGTGTTCCTAAGGTTCAAATTAAAAAAAAAAGAGAAAAAGAACATGTAGGTTATGTTGCTTGCTCGTTTGTTTTGTTGATGCATGTAGTTTTGGGTCGCCATAGGAATATAACGCTTCAAATGGCGTCATCGACGTCATGACCGCATAGAGGATTTGAGATCATGTTCTTCATGTTCATATTTACAGAAAGGAGGGAAAATAGCAGGTTATAAAGATATAACGTCATTTCCACATTTAAGGCCTACAATCATGTATGTGTTTTGCAGTGATACGAGGAAAAGTGAATCTTAGACAATTTCATATACAATGGAAATAAATTTTGCAGGATAGTCACCGCAGTTATCTACTCCATAATTACCATGGTCTTTGGAATGGTGAGGAAGATCGTTCAATTTTTGGACAAAAAATACAAAATTTGAAAATCTGTAATTATAAGCTAAATTAAATTTTGTATAACTTAAATTGTATAGCCATCCATCTTCTGTTATGGAGAAATTAAACCGTGTTCTTTTTTTATTATATTTACAAAAGGGAGTTAAATTGCAAAACGCAAATGTAGGTAATATTTGAATATTATGATGCGGTTGCCTGTTTGTATGTTTTGTTGATGCATGTAGTTTTGTGCCTCCATAAGAACAAGACGTTTTGTCGTCATCGACGTCATGACGGCATAGAGGATTTGTCGTCATACATGTATGTTGGATTTGATACTGTATTTTACGGGAAAAATGTATAGAAAATCCAAATACGCCTACAGTGACGCTAGGATAAGCGATGCAAGCAATATGCTATAAACTTATCATAATTTTAGGAAAGATGAGAAATAACGAAGCATAACAAAACAAAACTTGTACATCTATAATTCTATTCTGAATTAAATTTTGAACCATTAAAACGGGATTTCCATGTATTGTCTGCTCTGAAGAGGTTCAGCAGCGTTGTGCCTGTTCATATCTATATATATATAAAAGGAAAATTTCGCAGATTATCAGTTTGCAATGGGCGAGTGTACGAAACATTGGAATGTTTTGATGCGGTTGCTTGATGAAAGGTTTTGTTGATGCACCGTTGTTTTGTGCCACCATAGGAACGTGACGCTGTGCGGTCATCGACGTCATGACCGCATAGAGGATTTGTGGTCATATGTTCGTTTTGCTATGTAACATGGAAAGTGTATTAAAACAATTCCAAATAGGCCTAAATTGACACTAGAATTTACAAGACAATAGCTGTAAGTACTATGCCCTATACTTATCATAATTTTAGGAAAGGTGAGGAAGATCGCCAAATGTTTGCACCAAAAAAAAAAACTTGTAACAATTTAATTAATTATATGTTTAGGAACGTGACGCTTTGTCGTCAGCGACGTCATGACCGCATAAAGTATTTGAGATCATGTGTTGGTTACTAGGAAATGTGAATTTCAGAAAATATCAAACAGTGAAAGAGGAGAGCGCAACATGCAACTGGCTGTATACTTATCGTGATTTTAGAAAAAGGTGAAAAATTGTTGAATAAAAATGGCAACAAAGCTTGTTAACTTGTAATTATAGATTAATTTGATTTGTAGAATGGAAATAAAATTTCAGTTTATGAAATATTTTCGAGCAATTTTGTCGAGTGATCAATGTTCATATTTGCTACAAGGAGGAAATAAATGTCTCTGAATCAATAGGTTAATATTTGTATGTTATAAACCTTCGAATTGTCGGTACGTACCTGAAATTACCGACATGTGATGAAAATAAACCACCATGATCCAGTGTTCATTTCTTCCGGGAAGGACTACTTGGACATCAATATCATAACGAAATGAGTAAAAGGTGTTTTCGGGTAATCTTGATAATTGCTTGGTGCTTATGAAGAACTAGTGGATTGTTTTAACTTCATTTTAAGAAATACATTCATTGCTCACAAGGTGTAGACAACATAGTCTGTAATTCATAAATAAGAGGTTGTCCTTTATTAAAATCAGTGCTGTAGATAACACAAATTTGTGACTTGCTCAAATCCTTAGAGTTGGTGCGTCGACCTTCTAAAAGTCAAATGAGTAATCACGTACAAATCTAGAAAATAAATAAATAAATTGACATAAATGTACTCTAAATAAAAAAACTGCTTTAATTTTAGAAAAACACTATGAACAGCTACATACAGTTAACTTTAAGGTACATTCCACTTACTTTTTTGCTACTTGCGTTGAATAACTACACTGCATATATTCTTTACAGTGACAACTGTTCGGTATACTTTCTACTTACCCCTGCCTCTCGATTGCATCTGCCTGTATACTGACACGCTTTATATATACTAGTCACTTTTCACCGACAAATGACAAGCTCCAATCACTGCGTGCAAATACACAAGGTCAACTTACACAGGAGATAAAAACTTAAGCAGTGGAATGACTTGAGTGAGGCGAGTTACAATGAAAAGAACATCATCGTCAACTGATCCTAACCATTTATTAAGATCCTGTACAAATGGAGGATAGTATAAATGACCAAATAGCCAAGCAAATAGCCAAGGTGGGGTGAGTCCATTACATTGGAGGGGTGCCAGGTGGGGCTAGTCCATTTTATCTGAGGGGTGACAGGTGGGGCTGGTCCATTCCATTGGAGGGATGTCAGGTGGGGCGAGTCCATTCCATCAGAGGGATGACAGGTGGGACGAGTCCATTCTATCGGTGGGGGGGGGGTGCTTGGTGGGGCGAGTCCATTCC